TGGCCATTGCATTGGGATGTCTCAAACCCATCAATAGAAGAGGCTTTCTGGCTTCTCACCAAACAACAAAGCCCCAAAAGCAGTAGCAATATTGTCACACCTTTCATCTTGTGCTCTACTTTTTCTTGCTTTCTTGCTTGGCTGTGTGGATTTGAGACTTGCCCCTTCAGTCTGAGTTTAAATAAGATTCGTGTTCTGTTGTTTAGTCATAGGTTTTTACGTTGGGTTGTAGTAATATCCAATTTAAGAACATGCTTAGTGAGTTAGTGGTATTTCTTAATAACTATGTAACTTTGTCCTTGAATGTTTGACTTGTTGACAAAATGCCGGCCAACGTACGTTTTCTATTGCTCCCAACTTCATTGCATAATTGTTAGTGTTCTTTAATTACAGTATCAATTGATTAATAAGTTGTTTTAATGCAATTATTAAATACTTTTACTAATTTTGGTTGGTATGAGTGGTTGTGTACTCTAGAACAAGTAAACTTTAGTAGTAATTAGCAGTGTTGAAAAAAACGCTAGGCGCTTTTTTTTTTATTTTTTTTTATAGGAGTTATTCGCCAAAAAAAAAATAATAATAATAATAATAATAATCATAATAATAATAATTCGGGGTTTGGCCACCTATGCACGATTTTTGCAACATTGGTAATTAGTAAATAGAAATTAGAATTAAAATAAATAAATAAATGAAATTATGTTAATATTTATAATCGTGTCCAAATGAGAACTAGTAATATTGTGACAACATGCAAACTAATCTCATGCGTTCATTTATGACGATCAAGGATTGAAAATTAATGAAAAATAAGCTAAAAAAATATGATAAATTTCTGTAATAGTGCACTATATATCAACTATTTACAAATACACTACCAAGCATTTCTAAATGTATTATCGTAAACTATAAAAATGTCACTATATTTTTTTCTTTAATTTTTAGCTCTCTATCATCCTAAATAAAGAAATGAAGTTAGATTGTCACTTCTCACAAAAACTAGTTAGATTGTCATTTCTCACAAAGACAAAGACTACTAATTCTCACATGATCCTTAATTTAGACAATGTTAATTGTGGTAAGAAAATATATTAAACTAGAAGAAATTAGAACAATAAAAATTTATTTTAAAATTGTAAACCAATTAATCCATAAAAATAGATCTAAGAAACACCCCCCCCCCCCCCCCCCCCCCTCCTCCGACCAAATTTTATATATATATATATATATATATATATATATATATATATGGGGAAAAGATTTGGTGCGGACTGTTTTACGTTGCAGCTTTACACCATTATGTATGTAAAAATATACTATCACATATTTAGAAATGTACCATGGTGTGGTGCATTTACAAATTCATTGCTAAGTTTGTAAATGCTTTTAATATATATATATATATATATATATATATATATATATATATATATATATATATATATATATATATATATATAAACAATACCTATAGACTCAAACTCAATATCTTCAAATGGTATTTAACTATTTATGGCTTTTTATTCTACAAATTCGAATTTGTTATACAAAACTTGACACTTTGGCCATATCTATAATACTTGAAACCTCAGTGGACTAATATGCAATTAAAATACTTCTAATCGGTCCTAAGAGCATTCAATTAAACACAACACTGGAATCAAATCGACACTATGCATTTCAGTTGTACATATACGCCGTAAAGAGAGAGCCATGGCGGATAGAGGAGGAGAGGGGAAGAAGAGGGTGGTGGTGGAGTCATTGGGATGGCTGACAGAATCCACCGGTTTACATGACAATAACATTATTTTATCATAAGTGATCACATGACTTAAAATAAACAAGGTTACGTTATAGATAAACATGCTTACATAATTCTGGTAATAATGTTACATTACTTGAAGTAAACGCTCCCCCTAACGGCTCTCCAAGGAGGAGATTATTGACAAAAGTAATACATTATTACATTACAATAGTCGATACTCGAGTACATTGAAGTGAAACGGTTAGGATATCACTTCGAACGGGTCAGTAAACGGGTAAGCTTCATACCGTGTATAACAAATAGTTGACAACCCAAATAAAATCTGACCTCCAATTCGTCTAGGACAAAGCTCAAGCAAGCGATCTCCGGCACCATGAAGGCAAGTGATGCAATCTGTAGGCGTCGATTGGTAGTGGCAAACCGCATGACCATAAACGGTGCCATCAGGAGAATTCTCATATCTGTTGAAATTTTGTGTTCCTGGTGTCAAGAGTTGTAGCTTAGCAAGAACATAGTTTAAGGATGTTTCAAAGTTGCCGTTTGATGGATACTCTTGGCCATTGCATTGGGATGACTCAAACCCATCAATAGAAGAGGCTTTCTGGCTTCTCACCAAACAACAAAGCCCCAAAAGCAGTAGCAATATTGTCATACCTTTCATCTTGTGCTCTACTTATTCTTGCTTTCTTTCTTGGCTGTGTGGATTATATTTGAGACTTGCCCCCACAGTCTGAGTTTAAATAAGATTCGTGTTGTGTTGTTTAGTCATAGGTTTTTACGTTGGTTTGTAGTATTATCCACTTTAAGAACATGCTTAGTGAGTTAGTGGTATTTCTTAGTAACTATGTAACTTTGTCCTTGAATGTTTGACTTGTTAACAAAATGCCGGCCAACGTTTTCTATTGCTCCCAACTTCATTGCATAATTGTTAGTGTTCTTTAATTACAGTATCAATTGCTTAATTAATAAGTAGTTTTAGTGCAATTAATAAATATTTTTACTACAACTCACAAAGATGCTCCTAGTGAGGGTTAGCCGTACGTTTAACACATTATCTAAAGCTGACTAAAAAATGAATTTTAGAATAAGTAAACTTTAGTAGTAATAATTAGTAAATAGAAATTAGAATTAGAATTAAAATAAATAAATGAAATTATATTAATATTTATAATTACATTCAAATGAGAACTAGTAATCTTGTGAAAACATGCAAACCAATTTCATTCGTTCATTTATAATTAATGAAAATAAGAAGAACAAAGGGAGAAATTTCACTTTTTGTCCTTAAGTTATAGGGTAATTGTAAAATTCGTTTGTTGGTCATACTCACTTTTCGTCCCTAGTTTTTTTTTTTTTTTTTGAATGCTACTAGCTCTATTACAATGTAGTATCTGTTCGTATACTTTCTCAACCTACTGAAACACAAAGAGCTAATAACGCCTCCACTGAGGCTCGAACTCACACTTTTCGTCCCTAGTTAAGTTATCATTGATGTTGCATTTTTCGTCTATTTACTAATAAAACATTAGGGATGAAATTTACAATTTTAGTATAACTCGGGATGAAAAGTGGGCACGAAAGGACGAAAAGTGAGCACGAAAGGACGAAAAGTGCAATGTCAATGATAACTTAGGGACAAAAAATGAACATGACCAACACTTAAGGACGAATTCTACAATTACTCTATAATTTAGGGACGAAAAATGCAATTATTCCAAAAAATATGATAACATTTTTGTATTATGATAGTACATTTGAAAACAATTAATAGTGCACATCTGAGTGCACTATCAATTATTTACAAATGCACTACCAAGCATTTTCAAATATATTGTCGTAAATAACAAAAATATTATTACATTTTTTTTTCTTAATTTTCAGCTCTCGATCGTCCTAAATAAAGGAATGAAGTTAAAGTGTCAATTCTCACAAAGACTACTAATTCTCACATGATCCTTAATTTAGACGATGTCAATTGTGGTAAGAAAATCTATTAAACTAAAAAAAATTAGAACAATTAAAAATTTATTTAAAAAATGTAAACCAATTCATTTATAAAAATAGATTTAAGAAACCCCGTCTCTCCAACCAAATTATATATATATATATATATATATATATATTAAAAGCATTTACAAACTGAACTGAACAGTGCAATTGTAAATGCAGCACACCCTAATACATTTCTGAGCAGGGTGTGGTGCATTTACAATTGCACTGCTCAGTTTGTAAATGTTTTTAATATATACGGAGTATATATATGTGTGTTGTTATATATAAACAAATATCTATACACTCAAATTCAATATCTTCAAATGGTATTTAACTATTTATGATTTTTTTTTAGAAGAAGAAGAATTTAATTCATTAAATCAAATAAAAGACAATCAACAAGGAAAATGGGAGGATTGTCAAACCACTCCCAGCAACCTGACATACAAACGACTTCCCGAGCAACCATATGGGCAACACGATTCACAGATCGCTTCACAAAATAAAAGTCTACACCATTAATCATTGATGGAACTTCCTTAACATCATCTATAATAAAATCAAAAGAAGAAATAAAAGAGTCTGACATAAAGCATAATAATTAATAAACTAACTGAGAGTCTGTTGTAATATCAGCGTCTCCCAATCTTGTTCCCTTCAACCAACCAAGAGCCTCACGAATACATACCGCTTCAGCTTCTTTGACACTATATTCCATCAATCCGCATACCTTTGGCAGCAAAAAGCTACCACAGTCGTCTCGCAACATCCAACCTAACCCCATAGCATTATGTTCAACATCGAAAGCAGCATCAGTGTTAAGCTTTATTCGTCCAATTTCCATTTTGTTTGACTATTAAATTTTGTGTTGCAACTTACCCCGTCGTTAGCTGCCTTCCAATTCAACAAATAAGGGAGCCCCATTCCATATTGTGTCATTCCTACTACCCCATAATCCCTAACAAAGCATTTCAAACTTGCATTTCAAATCATCATTAAGGGTAGCCACTGGACAAGATTACCTTGGCCACAAACTAGCAACATTTGGGCATTCCATAAATAGTCCACGTCCCATCATGTTCCTTGTTCATTGAACAACGAAGAAATTAAACGGCGGCTTCGACAAATTCGCATTTGTTATACAAAACTTTTGAAATTTTGGGCATATTTATAATACTTGAAACCTCAGTGGACCAATGTGCAATTAAAATATTTCTAACCGGTCCTTATAAATACCTATATTTCAAATCCAAAACCCCCCAAATCAGCTCCTAGAACATTCAATTAAACACAACACCGGAATCGAATCGACACAATCAGTCGTACATATACGCCGTAAAGAGAGAGCCATGGCGGAAGGCGGAGGAGAGGGGAAGAAGAGGGTGGTGGTGGAGTCGTTGGGATGGCTGACGGAATCCACCATCATGCCGAAGAAGCACCGCCCCATCGACGGCGTTGGGGCGTCCTCGATCCTCGAGCTCAAGGCGCAGCTCTACAAGTCCCAGGAGGAGTCCAAACGCCTCTCCAAGGAAACGGTCACCGCCGCCGATCCACAATACTCCCACCTTCAAGTCCACCGCGCCAAGAATAAAATTTCCGCCCACGACCCCTTCTCTGCAAAGAACTCCGGCGTCGATGCTCGAGCCGCCAAGTAAATTTCTCCTTATTGATTAATTTATTTCCTTTCACTTTTCCGCGCTTAGTGTTTCTAGGTTTTGATAGTTTGAACTGAAAAATGATAATTTTTTTATTTGAAAAAGTGTCAAATAGACCTCATGCTTTTGAGCAATTGGGAGGGGAAGCCCCGCTAGACTTAATCAGTCACTCTTTGAACAGTCAGGATCCCAAGAAAATGCTCAACAATAATCTCATTCACTCCATTTGGGTAATTGAACATACAAAATATGCAACTGAACCATCAAGCAAGGAAAATATGTGTAATTGGAACATTTTTATGATTTCTTTTAATGCAATTTGAGTTACAAACATTTGAATCTTTACATCTATTAGAACAAATTGAACAAAATGTCTCAATTGCATATATTTTACTTTGTCTTTTATAGTTTGATTGCACACTTTTTAAGTTCAGTAACCTAATTGCACAAAAGCAAGAAGATTGATGGCCTAATTGACACTTTTTCCATTTTTATTTAATAGTAATTGCTGGTAAATTATACCGTGTCAAAATTAGTGTAATTAAAGGATTCTGTTGGAACTTTGGTTCTAATCAAGGTAATGATGCAATGAAAAAGTTTCTATCTTGATATCTTAATCAACTAATAACCCCTAATACATTTTTTTATCTGTTGTTTTTTTTTTTTAACTTTCTTTTGGAGAAGGTAATGAAAAGAGATCTTTGAAGTTTCATGATCAACTTAAGGATCACTGTTCTATATTCGGAAAATGGAGTTTTATGTTTGATCTTGATTAACATTGTTGTGTCATTTCTCTGTAAGTAGGCTAACATTCTTTCAAATTTGAGTTGAAAAATTCCTCTCATATTCATTCATGTGTTTATTTGAATTTGTGTTTGAGTCTGGTATTTGTAATTTCCCAGTCAATAATTGTTTGCTCCGAAATATGTATGCATACTGTGAATTTGCAACCAAATGCTACATGGAATGATGGAATGCATTTAGGGTGAATTGATCGATGAAATTGGGCAACTGATATATAGACATCATTAGCATACCGAATTTCAGACCATCTTGTTTTTACAATATTTGAAGGAACTCTGAGAAGTCGAATCATTCATATATGCTCTTCTCTTTGATGTTCAACATTCTAGCCGACCCTTTTGTACCGCATATTTATATGAACAATGACTTTGCACTGATGTATGCTGGTGTATTTTAAGGGACAAGCTTGAGCTGAAAGCCATCAAGGATGGGGCTACGAGCTATGCTGCCCTGGAGAGAAAGGCGGAGTTATATGATAAGCTAGTGAGAGGAGAGCTTCCTGATGAAGAAGAAGATGAGAAGTATTGTGTTGATTTCCTTCGCAAAGGCCTAGAGCAAGAAGAGCCAAAACAGCCTCAACAACATGAGACTTCGTGCTCTGAACCACCAGAGGAAGATGGAGAGGACGATGGCTCTATACCAACTAACACAAGAGCTCCAGGACTTGGGCGTGTGTCAGCCACAATGGACAGAAGTGAGCATAAGCGTTTTGTAATGTAAGTATCTTATCCTCGTACAGTTTGCTGCAATCTTGCTTTTCCTTTTTTTAAAAATATTATGTTCATGAATTTCCATTCTGTGAGAGTGTCTCTTTCTCGGTTTCTCAAGAAAATATAGGCACAATAGAAGGCCGGAAACCTGCATAAAATATACCTTAACCGCTGGACAACTATTGTCTACTTCCCAAAAACTTAAAATAAGAAATCTGCACTCTCAAGAAGTGCAGAAAAGCAAATTGACATCTTTCATTGAACCTCGTATCTTTGCATTCTGAGTTTACTTATATTGTTTTCATGGCTGTTCAGGGAAGTTCATGAAGAAGCGAATCAAGCAAGGCAAAAAGCATCTGAACTAAAAGTACGTAGGCAAGAACAAGTTGCTGCTCGTAGAGAGAAACTGAAGCAGGCGTATCTGAAAAAGCAGTGCGAGAAATTGATTGCTCAAGCCAAAGCATCACAGTGAAGTAAAGATGTGAAAACATCGAGAAGCTAAATCATTGATCAATCGTTCTCTTGAGATGTAAATTAAAACACGAGAGTTCATTTTGAAAGTAAAATGTAAACATTGTTCAACTTGCTTAAAGCTAGAATTACTTGGCTTTCATGGCTGCCTTGTGAAACAAGTATCAACCTTTCATTTGGGCAGATTTTTCTTTCATGTATGACCTTGCTGGTGTTGTTATGTCTTAAATGCAATGACATCTGAGATGGGTACTAGTAAGAAGTTATCAGAATCAAAGTAAAATGCATTTGCTGCAAAGTGACATTTATTCAACTAGTTGATAGTAAATCTGTATTGTATAAGTATTTCAGATTAATTTTTATCAAGGACTCCGTGGCCCAATGGATAAGGCGCTGGTCTACGAAACCAGAGATTCTGGGTTCAATCCCCAGCGGAGTCGTAAGTTGTTTTCCACTATACACTAATAACCCTTTTGGGGTACGAAATTGACCAAGTAAGATGCGTTTGCTACGAAGTGACATTTATTCAACTAGTTGATAGTAAATCTGTATAAAATAAATATTTCAGATTATTTTACAACAAGGACTCCGTGGCCCAATGGATAAGGCGCTGGTCTACGAAACCAGAGATTCTGGGTTCGATCCCCAGCGGAGTCGTTTGTTGTTTTCCACTTTACACCAACCCTTTTCGGGTACGAAATTGACCAATTCCTCTAAAACCAAAAAAAAAAAAAAAAACAAACCTTTATGAAAGGTTGCATTTTTGCTTAATTTTTCTATTCTCTTTAATAAATTCCTTAACATTAATTAAAAATCAAACTCTTTTCACTCAAATAACGCACAAAATCATTGAATTAAGGAGGTGGTGAGTTTGCCAAAGATTTTACAATCGAGTGGCATAACTATGACTCTCTTAAATAGAAAGTGCTTCAGTAGGTTAAGCAAGTATGGACAGTTTGATTTGGATTGATGGTGGCGGCCGGATAGACCATGTGGTGCTTTTAATTGAAAAAAAAACTGAACCATCTTTTGGGTGGTCCCTTCCTTTCAGATCCAAAATATATACATAAAACCCTCATTAAATGGCACCCTAACATGAAAAACAAATCTTGTATAGTTGTATGTATTAAGGTGTTGTAACTCATAACCTGCGTCGCATTGTCGTGCCTACTGAAATATTTTTGGAAGTATAATTGTTTGAAGCACACCATTACATCTCTTCAAGCTCATGCATGACTCAAAACAGATAGATATTTCACCATTATATAGCTATAAGGTCCCGTAGAACAAAAGAGTTACTTACCAGAATGCAAATTCTAAAAACAAAAATATTATGGGAGATGTCTTGTAATGAAGAGCTAAAACCCAAAATTATTACACGTAACAACAATAGCAAATCATAGCTCCGTGCCTCTGCCCGTGCAGCAAATTGCAGAGCAAAAGAAGATGCCTCTATGCGAGATTTTGGTTAGGTCTCCAGTGTGTGTAAGGCTGCTAGTTTGCTAAAACAATCAAGGCTTGAATGCAGAGAAGGCTACGACCGAGTTGTGTCCACCAAAGCCAAATGAATTTGAAATGGCTGTGCATATGACAGATACCCGTTAGAGTTGAAGAAACTTTGAGTTATACAAATATGTCTGTCCAAGTGAAGAAGACCGGGGAGGAGGGCATGAAAAGAAAGTATCTTACCAACATTGATTTCATGCTCCTGTTTCTTGTTTGGGACTGTGTCAAACTCCACTGAGGGCTCGGGGTTCTGCAGCGTTCAACAGATAATGACATTTGTATATCAGGAATGTTCAAACGTTTCAAATGCAAGCATGAAATTAGAAAATAAACATACAAATTGGTTAATTGTAGGATGTAGCCACCCAGTTGTAATGGCTTTCACCGTTGCAATAGCTTCCAGGCCACCAGCAGCACCCAGGCAGTGTCCGATCATGGACTGGTAATATACGGAAAAACAAAAATTTGAAGTAAAATTATGAAAATGGACACATATATATATTCAAATGACGTTCTACAGTCTTAACATATATTTTCTAAACTGACATGTCACAGTATAAGTTTATACACTAATGTAAAGATAATGTACCTTGGTAGCATTCATTTTGATCTCTGAAGTGTCCTTGAATACCTTCTTAACAGCATTGACCTCGGCTAAATCTCCGACTAGAGTCGAAGTTGCATGAGCATTTATGTAGTTCACCTGAAATGATGGTACAAAAAAGAATCATTTAGACACTCCAAGAAATTCAACAGAATAGGATACGAGTCATATTTAAAACAAAATGCTTAAGTCCAGCCTCAACTCCAAAATGACCATACTGCCATTTTGCCTTTTCATCTAGTTTTCTTACAAGCTTTGATGCCCCGTATGATTTTGCAATAAAAAGTACTCCACAAATGAGTCAATGAACATAAACTGATCAAAGAGAAGCAGAAACCTCTTCAGGTGATACACCAGCATCTTCAAGAGCACTATGGATACATGAAGAAACACCAAGTCCATCAGCTCTAGGATCAGTCATGTGATAAGCATCGCAAGTTACTGCACCTCCCAGATACTCGGCAATTATAGGTGCACCACGTTTCATTGCATGTTCCAAGCTTTCCATCACCTGCCAGCGTGCCAAGGACATCACTTAACCACTAAGTCTACTTTAAATTCGAAATCCATATAATCAAATATTTTAAAATGAGCAAACAAAAGAAGAAAGTATATAGATGTAATATATTAATTCCAGATCCAAATTACAAGTTCTGCTATAAAGCCATAGCATGAAGAAGGTAAACATCAAATGATGAATTTAATTTGAAAATATGATGTTTACTACTCCATTTAGCTTCCAGTCACAGATGTAAAATCCTATAAAAGCACATTTCTACCTCAATGTAATGTTAGTAGGAAAACCAAAGGGGGGTCAAAATCCTTACCATAAATATTTTGAGGCTAAAGGCAATATTATAACATCTGAAATTGAATTGCTAATAGTAATGGTTTTTCATTCTTGACCAACCAATAACAAAAAGTTGTATCTTGTTGGAAAAATAACACATAACAATTGCATACTTACCAATACTCCAGCTCCTTCACCCATGACGAAACCATCACGGTCTTTATCCCATGGTCTAGAAGCTGTTTGTGGATCATCATTTCTTTGAGACAAAGCTCTGCATGCCACAAAACCTCCTAGTCCAATGGGTATTATGGCAGCCTCTGTTCCACCTGCTAACATCAAATCAGCCTCACCTCGACGAATATGATTGGCAGCTGCATAGAAGCAGTAGTTGGAGGTAGCACAAGCAGTCGAAATCGAGTAGTTTGGTCCCATAAAACCAAGGTCAATAGCAAGCAAAGCAGAACCCATGTTGGTTATGGCATAAGGTATGAAAAACGGAGTTATTTTCCTGTAACCCTTTTCAATTAAGGCTTGAACACCATCAGAGAAAACTGTAAGACCACCCATTCCAGTTCCAACAAGAATCCCAGCTCGCTCCTTATCAATCTACAGTGAAAACACAAGTTACAAAATTAGAATGATTTTTCAACAGCTTCCATTATAAATACTTGAGGAAATGAATAGAATTGCTAGCAAACTCCTATTCTTAAGCATTGTTACTTTACTCTGGACCACAAAAGCCTTATGTAACAACTTCAATTCAACTCCACAAAGCTATAATCACAAAACTCCAAAACTCAATTCAAAGGTTCAGCCAAATAGAGCGGGATTAAAGTTTAAAGAACACATAAATAATAAATCACACAGATTCAGTTAATAAATGTAAGAAACTAAAGACTACTTGTATCAGAACTTATAAAGCTCAGTCCAATTTCTAAACTACCAAAAGTAATTCCCGTAAAACAACTAAAAGTTAAAATCCTTTAATAAGCCAACTAAATTAGAACAATCTGAAATAGCTAACCTTCCCGATTCCATCAGCTCCGAGATCAGCATTTTCGAGAGCTTTCTTCCCGGCAACAATGCAGTACCTGAGGCAATCGTCGAGCCGCCTGTCGTTCTTACCGTCAATATAACCCTCGGCCTTAAACCCCCGAATCTGGCCGCCGAATCGGGTGGGGAATTTGGAGGCGTCGAACCGATCGATGGCGGAGATGCCGCTCTCCCCAGCTAGGAGCTTGTCGTAGTAGGCGTCCACGTCATTGCCGAAGACGGATACGAGCCCCATCCCGGTGATGACGACGCGCTTCTTCGGGTCCTTCTCCCGCTTGGGGGCGGCGGTGGCGGAAACCACGCGGAGACGCCTGGGGAGCGGCCTGACGGCGACTCCAGAGGGGAAGTGCGACGTCGTCTTCCGGAGCGGGTCCAGCGGCGACGGGCGGAGCGCGGTGGAGTTGAGCGCTTGCATTGTGGTGGCGGGCGGAGGAGAGATTTTCGATGTGAACGAGGCGGATGCTGTAGTGGTAGTATGCAAGACTGAGATGCGTGGGACTCCAGTCCATGCTGTTTTAACTTCAAATTTTTTATAATTAAATTTAATATTATAAATTTTAAAAATTTGCATTTTATACCTGACTATTTTTAATATCTAAGTTATACGCAAAGTGATAAATTCAGTCTCTGGAAAATCAAATTCATCACTTTATTAAATGACATATTGATATAAAAAGTACCGGACTGACTAAAATCACAATTTTATACATAACTTAAGATTTAAAGATGTCTATCCATACGAGAGATCAAGTCTCTACCCGTATAATTTAAAGAAAAATATTTTTTTTTCAAAATATAAGTAAATAAAAAAAATAGTCAATATTTCCAACTTCCAAGCCTACCACTTAAAGTGTGAGTACTATGGTCCTACCAACCAAAACTAACTAAAATAATTAATAATTAAATAAATGGCCGTCCTTTTTAGGAAAAGGAAAATTACTGCTCCTATTATCCTATATTCCTATATATATACTCATATATTTTAATTACAACGAAAATTCTTCCTGCCTCCGACTCTGATTTAAAAAATTAAAAAAAAAATAGAGGTATTGAAGTAGGTGAAGAATGAAAGAAAATGAGTGATTTCTTCTAAGAGATTTTTTTATTTTTTTAACTCTTTTGGTTCGTAGACCGTTACACTTATTTTAAATTTTGTCACTGATTATTAAATTTTGTACATTTGGTGCATAAGTATCAAAATATTATCATCTTTTATCTTTTTGATCAATTTTCTACCTAATTTTATATTATTTTTCATCAATATTAATTGATTAATTCTAATAAAACTATATTTAAATGGGTGGTACCAAGACTATGTGGTCTAATGGTACCCGGGTTGGACTTTCATTTGGAAGGTTGTAAGTTTGAGCCTCAGTGGTGGCAATACTACATTGTAATAGAGCCAAGTAGTATTCAAAAAAAATATTTAAATGGGTGGTAGGCTATCTTTATTTTTACAATACCCTTTCACTTTCAAAAGCGGTCATACTTTCCTTATTTTTACAATACCCTTTCACTTTCAAAAGCGGTCATACTTTCTTTATTTTTACAATACCCTTTCACTTTCAAAAGTGGTCATACTTTCATATCATCAAATTTATAATTGTTTAATTATTTTTCGGAATAAGGGTCAAATAAGCCATTGAAGTGCACATAAAACTGCAATTGGACCACTGAACTCAAAAAACTGCAATTAAGTCCCTGAATTAACCAATAGCATGCAATTTTACCAATTTTCCAGTTTTATAGGTTTGTTACCGGTAACTTTGCCAACTTGGCTTCCATGTGGCTTGTTATTTTTTTCTTATTTAATAAATATATTAAAAACTAGTTCAAAGGTGAAGCACTTCTGCCACCGCCAGATTTCACCGACTTAAATGCAGTTTTTTGAGTTCAGTAGTCCAATTGCAGGTTTGTGTGCACTTCAGTGGCCTATTTGACTCCTGTTCCTTATTTTTCTCTACATCCTTGCAATATTGTCACACTTTCATATTACATTAAAAGTTTTTTTTTTTTTATCAATAAATATTATTTTATCTTCACAATTATTCTTTTATATCAACTATTATTTTGACCCGTGCGATACACGGAATGGAATTGTTGTCATATATTAAGAATATTTAAATCGATATATAACTATTTAAGAGTTAATTTCATCAGAGGTCGCTTATCTTTCCTGACAATTTCAAATTTAATCCTAGACTATAGTTATTAATTATTACGATTTATTCTATGTTATAATTCTAACGTTAATATTCTTACTATTATTATTAACACTTAATTACTTTTAGATATTATTTTTACCACTTATATTATTATTATTATTATATTATTATTATTAGTTTCTTTTCAAATTTTGTTAGTATATAATGGTCGTGAGGGCACACAATAATAATATAGCCATAATTAAATATTTTTATATTGTATTCCGTGAGTCACAATAATAATATAACAATAATTAAATATTCTTTAATTCTATATTCTTCTAGAATTTCTATTACCATCATTAATTATTCCCTAATTTACCATAATTAAATAATTTGACCAATTATAAAAAGAGATTATTAAATAATGCACGAGATAATTTTTAAATTAAAAATTTTAAAAATTCATTAATAAAATATAAGGTTCTCATAATTTTTTTCTTAGAAACTATTTAATAAAGTATTTTTTAAAAAAATTGGTGGGCCAAACCGCCTACGACAGTTTGCGGTGGATAGATCTCGAAAAAATACGCGATTTCAAAAAAACATTTGTCCAAAACGGACAACCGAGTCAGAAGTTACGCCTTGTCGAACTTTTGACACTTCACAACTTTAACCCAGAATTATTGTATGAATGGGGAAGTAGAAATCAATATATTTTATTGGGAAGAGAGATTTTTTAGGAATTGGGCGGGAAGTTAAAATTTCATGATTTTGTTTTTATATATAGTATAAATATATAAATTACTTTTCAAATATTAGCAATAACAACAAAAATGAAAATCCAAAATACGTAAAATTAGTTTTAAAAATTTAAAAAGTTATTCGTATTACATTACATATATAATCAAATGCAAATATATTACGTAAAAAATTGATGTAAACTAATTCAAATTTACAATTAAACAAATTACAAATTTATGTCTTTAAAATAATTTAATTACATAAAAAAAACATTAACTACTACTATATACTATTGACCAGAACATATAATATATGTACAAAAGCAAAATAATATATATATATATATATAATCAAATGAGTGCACTCCTTTCTTATTAGTCGTGTAAATAGATCTGGGCCATTAAATTAAGGTATATTAACAGGAAAAATTCGAACACTTAAAATTTGGCGTGAAACGGACAACCATTCATTTTTCCACTTAACCATTACAGCCCTCCTGTCAGAAGAGGTCTCTGAACCGTTCTTCTTTTCCCGTATTTCCTCCATTCATCGTCTTATTGTTTTCGTTATGCATAGATTTCTGCTAATTCATTGTAGCGGTGGCTATCTGAGGCGAGCGGTGGTGCAACCGCAGAACTCCGGCCAGGGTGGTCCCAGCCCTGGCAAGCACAGCGCGCAGGCGGAGAAGCTAAGGGAGACAAGAATTGAAGAAGAAGAATTAACCTTTGATTCAATTCGTATCAACAAGGCGGCCGGCCGGCAGCCGGGAGGATCTTGAAGGAGGAATAGAGGAAGATAAAAATGGCGGCGCCACCACCTCCTGCCAAAGCGGACGTGGACTTGGATAGATTGGCGCAAACGGTTACGTGTTTTTCTGAGACAATATACCGGGCAAATGGCGTCTGGGAAGGGCCTGATCCTTTGACACCCATCATTCCCCTATTCCTCGTTCAGATAATGATGGCTATATTTTTCTCCCGTATTCTCAATTTCGCCATGAAGCCATTCAACCAGCCTCCCCTCGTCGCTGAAATCCTCGTAAGTTTATGCATTATATATATATATATATATATATATATATATATATATATATATATATATATATATATATATATATATATTCATTCCATGTTCAGCGGCTAAGTCATTGATGGTGGTTGCAGAGTGGGATGCTTTTGGGGCCTTCTGCAATTGGAGGAATCAACGGGTTTCGAATCGTGTTCTTCCCGAACTACAACTTCGAGATAATAGAGACGATGGCGCACTTAGCCCTCGTCCTCTACGCCTTCATGACCGGACTCCAAACGGATCTAAAACCAATCCTGCGCATCGGCTCCAAGGCCAAGACCGTCGCGCTTTCCGGCATCATCGTCCCCTTCCTCATCGGCGCATCCTTGTACTACATCCTGTCACACGACGACGAACGCGGGAAGATGCCCGGCATCATATTCTACGGCGGCGCACTTACCGTCACGGGCTTCTCAAATCTCGCCAAAATCCTCGACATGCAGAGACTTCTCCAGACCGAGGCGGGGAAAGTGGCTCTGTCTTCGGCCACAATCCACGACTTGTCGTCGTGGGTTTTTCTGGCGCTGGGATTGGCGGCCTCAGGGGGCGCTATGCACTGGGCGATAGTATGCACTGCTCTCTACATTTTGTTCACCGTCTCTTATTTACGCCGGTTTCTGGCATGGATCATACGGAAGACGCCGGAAGGACAGGGGTATAGTGAGTTCTACATATGTTCCATGGTGATCGCGATGATGTTCTGTGGGGTTATTTCGGATGCGATGGGGACACATCCGATGATTGGGGCGTTTCTCTTTGGGCTCATAATGCCGTCGCAGGCTGTCGAGGCGGCGATTCTGGATAAGCTTGAGGACTTTGTGATGGGAGTTTTCATGCCGGTTTTCTTCGTGGTTTGTGGGCTTAGAACAAATATTGGTGTTATCGCCACCGATACCAGTTTCTCTCTCGTTATCTTGACGATAATCTTTGCCTTTTTAGCCAAGATTATTAGCGCTCTTGCGGCGACTTGCTTCTCTGGCTTGTCAGCTAGAGAGGCAATCGCGGTGGGAATACTGACCAACACCAAAAGCACTATGGCCATGATTCTTCTTGAAGTGGGTCAAGTACGCCAGGTTTTGACCACTCAAATCTACTCTATAATGGTGGTTGCGGTTCTGGTAATGACGATGGCGGTCACGCCCTTGACCAACAGGTATCGTCCCCCTGAGAACATATCGCCGTACAAACGGAGGACGATAGAGATGAAGGGGAAACCAAACGAGGAGGAGCTACGAGTCCTAGGATGTATTTACGGAATCAACGATGTTCCTCCCATGATCAAACTCCTGGAATCCTCAAAATCCACGAGGGAGTTTCCGATGAGCGTGTTCGGGCTGCAGCTGGTGGAGCTGGTCGGCCGTGCTCCGCCGATGCTGGTGGTGCACAGCTCCGCTAGGCGAGGGCCGTCGAGGAACCTCAGCCACGAAGGGGTCCAGACCAGCCAAATCATCAGCGCGTTCGACAACTACGAGCTCCGGTCCCATGGAGTCACCACTCAAGTTCTGACAGCGAGGACCTCGTTCTCAACCATGGCGGAAGATATCTGTAACGTCGCCCGGGAAAAACGCACTTCCTTCGTTATCCTCCCGTTCCACAAGCAGCCCACCATGGACGGCGACATGGAAGAGGTAAACCCGGCTATCCAGAGCGTAAACGAAGCGGTGCTGGTTAACGCTCCTTGCTCCGTCGGAATCCTCATCGACCGTGGCCATTGTCACGCTAATGAATGCGCTCGGAACATCGTCATGATGTATTTCGGCGGCCCGGATGACAGAGAAGCCTTGTCGTTAGCGTGGAGAATGATTGAAAATGAATCAGACGCCGACATCGACGCCGTCGGTGGTAGCGTGCAGTTGACCGTGGTAAGATTCATTCCGGGGGAAGATACGTCGTACAATGACCCTATGGGATTCGCAAATTATAGCAAAAGCTTCGTGAGTATAAGCATCGACCCCGACAAAGACAGAGAGCTGGATCAACAACTCCTCAACGATTTCAAATCCTCAACCGCAAACGACAACTCCGTAACTTACGCGGAACTGGTCCTGAACAATGAAGAAGAAACTACCAATGCTATCAAAGCAATGGAGACTCGGAACTATGATCTCTACGTCGTGGGGAGGGGCCGGGGAGTGGTGTCGCCGCTCACGGCCGGTCTAGCGGACTGGTGTGATTGCCCGGAGCTGGGGCCGATAGGAGATCTTCTTGTCACGTCGGAGTTTGAATCGGCGTTTTCAGTACTGGTGGTACAACAGTACATGAAATCTTCCCGGGCCGGCGTGGAAGACTCGGAGGGTTCTTCCGGAAGAATGAGCCAAATGATGGAGAATAAAGTGGAGGAGATCCCGCTGCGGACGTCGATATCGGATACTGAATCGGTCTTCCAATCATTTCCGAGTTTTAACGGGAATAAGGAGCACGTATAATCTCAGCTTTAATATACTAAAAGCTCTGCTCTCAAGTTAAGTAGGAAGACTAAAATTGTTATTCATTCCTCAATCTCATGTAAATCTCAATCCAATCTTCATATTTCCAGATAAGTTAGGTCAAAATCTCAGAGTTAATAAACATTAACAATTTTTATGCAAAAGTAGTCATTTCCGCCTAACTGCACGCAATTAGCTTCCTCCAATCCCCCAATTCAACCTCATAACATATTCCACATCTGTAAATAGTCATTCCTTTCAAAACACAATTACACAAAAGTAAATGAAAATAAACTATAAAATATAATTTCCTTTTTTTAAATAGGAAATCAATAAAAAATTTACATAAATTTCAGAAAGAAGAGGAGCATCAAGTTGTAAACGGCAGTTACATTTACAAACTTACTTAAAACTGCATAGATTTCGGCAGGCCGGATGAAGTGATGAACGCTATTTCAATTCCTTCTTCATTCATATATGGCATCCGCAGAAGAGGTAGAAGAAAGCAAGCGTTGAGATCAAAACGACGGCCTCGAAAACAGAAACTATCTTGAAAAGTACACTGTCCACGAACCAGACATGGAGGTTTAACATCCTCTTCCACCGCAACCCTGGAGATATGCGCTTCAATAATCTCCAGCGCCGCAGCCTCGAATTGTTAGTAGCACCGCTGCTTTTACCACTCATTGCGCCGCCGGCGTCGTCGGAACCTCTGCCGGAAGCCTTCTTGTTCGGCCTATTGAAGGCGAACAAGTAGCCTGGCGCTTTCAACATTGCGGTTGCTTGCAAGCGAATCGCGGAAGAAAGAGATAAGTCTGGGAAGTAGGAACTTTTGTATGAGAGTAGTAATACGGAGTCATTGGTAAAGGCGGTTAGGGGGTGAGAGGGGATATTTGGGGTTTGATAAGGGTAGTTTAGGAAGAGTAGGCTCTTTTTTAGTAACTTCAAAGTTCAAATCTTCAATACATTCTACTATTCCGCGTGAAAAAGGTGCCGTGAGACTCGTGAGTCGTGACGAAGGACCGTGGGGCAAAATTGAAAATAAAAAATAGCATAGGAAATCTTTCGTTTATAGCTTCGTTGCTAAGTTGCTAACAAATTTTATTTTTTTAAGTTGCAAATTACAACCTAACTTTTTTTTTGTTTATGAATATCATTGACTATATTATATTGTAATATCTATTCATATATCTTTTTTTAACATGTTAAAACATAAAGAGTCAACACCACATCCACTGATAATCGATTTCATGATCTCCCATATGGGAGAGATACTACATGCCATTGTTTTCGTGAACAATGAGATATAATAATTATATTTTATTCACTTAATATAATCACTCATCTTGCTTGACAACTCTATTTTATTTTCTATAATTGTACATATTTAAAATTTTCATTCCTTATTAATTTGTCTATTTCTTTGTCCACAAAAGGTGAAATCTCTCGCTCTAGACCCGACTCGACAGAATTATGAAGTCATTTCTCTTCTTTTTTTTTTAGTTGTATACTAATTAAGAACAAAAAAAAAAGGTGATTTCAATTCATATCTTTTCGGTAAACTATATTGACTTTAGAAAATTTAAATAGAATTTCAAAAATAATTAATTTTGATATATTTATTTACGATGCATACAAATTAGCTAATGCACACATTCGGATAATAACTACAGATTTCCATGGACATCCAAAAACATTTATAAACTTCTCATTTTTTTTTTTTTGGTAGGGTATAAACTTCTCATTATATTGTATATTTATTTTTTCACACTAATTAACAATTATCAATCTCTTTTTATTCAATTAATTTTAGGGAACAACTAATTTTTTTCCTTGAATCTTTCCATTTGTTACACATGATTTGAGCTTTATTTGCATTTTGATTTGACATTTGATTAACATGTGAACCATGATCAACGATGAGATGTATTTAAGGTGATAGATGCTTTTAAAGAGGCGCTGTCCTGGTTAGTTGCAAGAAATCTCAATTCGGCCAATCTGCTCACGGATTGTATGGTGTTGCGAACTACCATACACCATCAGACTACACCCATTCACTCGTATGCTGGGTTGGTAATTGACCAGTGCAAGACAATGATGTCTTTATTTAATTTTATTTCGTTAAGCTATGTGCCTAGACAGATTAATTTACATGCTCATACTTTAGCTTCGTTAGCTTTTACTCAGGAACATTCTATGTATTGGGATTCTATCCCTCCTGACACTATTATAGCTTTCATTAATTAATACAATCGGCAGATTGGTTTTTTCAAAAAAAAAAAGGTGATAGATGCTTTTTATAATTAATACGGAGTAATAATTCATTCAGAGAATTTTAGTCTAATAACAGTTATGTATCATGTTACATAAAAAGAAATCGACACAACTTTTACAATATGATGAGGTTTTATATAATTAAAAAAAAATGACATTTTTTCTCCCTGAGTTATATACTTATAGCACTTTTTCTCCCTGAATTATTCATGTAAGCACATTAGCCCCTCAATTATTTTAAAAGTGGCGGTTTCCCCTAATATATTTTATTGACATTTCTACCCTTAAAGTAAACATTTTATTTATTTTTCCTTTTCAATAAATTATTGCGTATACATAGGAATGACCACGGTTCGATTCGAATTGAACCAGACACTATAGCAATCGAATTAAAAGTTTCCGGTTATGATTCAGATCTAGAACCCAATATTTTAATTTCAATTCATTAAAATTATGAATCGAAAAAATTGGATCCTGAACCGTGAACCGACGGTTCTAGATCCGGTTAGCGATTTTGAACCGTCTTTATTTTTAAAATTTTAATTTTTTATTTTAAAATAGTCTAAATTCAACAATAAATGTATTTTATTTTTTTCAGTTTGGACCATGAACCGGCCGTCTCGGTTCACGATTTTAATAAAATCTAAATATCGGGTTTCGATTCTAAATTGTAATTAGAATATTTTGGTTTGATTTCTATAGTGTCTGTTTGGTTTGAACCAACTTGTGGTCATAATTTGTTAGAGAAAAAAAATGAAATATTTATTTTAAGGGTAAATATGTCCATTTAACATTTCAGGGGGAAAAACAGCCACTTGAATAATTCAGGGGAGAAAAGTGCTATATGTATATAACTTAGGGGGAAAAAGTGTCATTTTCCCATAAAAAATGATCATGAGTAGTTAATAAATATAAATTTACGGAGCATTTATCACATGACATGATTAAAATATTTAATAAACAATGTGAAAAAAAAAGATACATGTTAGGTGCTTATTATTCTATGAGCATCCTTATCAGTGGGGATATTAGAGGGGAGAATGTAAGAGTGGTTAGGAAAGAGAATGGGGGAGGGGAGAGGGAAAAAAAAGAAGCAAAAACTGATTTTAAAATAAAAATAAATAAATATAATAACTATAGCCAGGCGCGCGACGCGCCCGCTGGATGCACTCATGACAGCCACGATTGGCTGTCACGTTTGGTTGCATTTCTACTGGGTCCCACAATGCTCCCATTCTCCCAACTCTTGCAGATGCTCCCCAAATTTTTCTCTCCACTCTCTCTCTCATCCATGTCAACATTAAATATATTAAAAGTATCACATTCTCCTCACTTGCTCCCCTAGTGTGGATGCTCTTAAGATGTGTTTGAAAACTCAAAAATTATTTTTGAAAATCATTTTTTGAATTTCTAGTGTTTGGATGTACATGAAAAATCCAGTCAACGAAAAACATTTTATGTTGACGGAATAAAATAAGGTCATTTTTCGAACCGTGAACCTACGCGAAAACTTAGTCTACTTCATCGATTATGTGCTCTCTGGTTTCCTATCGGACACCAGAGAGCAGTTCTCTTTGGTTTTCGTAATTTTTTTAAAATTTTTTAATTTTTTAATAAATAATATTATTTGATTTAAAAAATAAATAATATTATTTTTTAGTAATATTAAAAATATTTTTATATTTTAAACAAAATAATTAATTATATAAAATTTTACTTATACAATTCTACCTCAGAAAAGGAAAATTATATCGTGCATCAAAACGACGTCGATTTGTTTAATGAAAAGAAACGGCATCTGTTTTCCGCCGTTCCGCACCCTTCCACAAAAAGTAATTCTGTTATTCAGTTTCATTTTGTATATAGTGCAGTTTCAGTTCAACACAACTACAGTTTCATTTCAATATAACTATAGTTTCATTCGATATTTATATACTCAAATATGTGAAAACGTTATTTAATTTTATTTTATATATACAATAGTTTTATTAGAACACAATTACATGATCATTTTGATATAATTACAGTTTCATTGTACAATATATACTCAAATATGTGAAATGTTATTCACTTTCATTTTATATACACTGCAGTTTCATTTCACCACAACTACAGTATCATTTTGATATAACTACAATTTCATTTGATAATATAAAAATAATACGTGAGACAGTGTCAGTTTAGATATACTGTAATGTCAGTTGGTAATTAACATACAAAAAAATGCACACTCTGTTAACACTAACGGCGCGCCGTTTCTTTAATGTAAAGAAGCGGCGCTGTTTTGACCATGGTGCATGTGCACCGCGGTCCACGATATAACGACCCCTCAGAAAATGAACCAAACATACAGTTTTCTAACGTGCGGTCAAACACGAGAAAGGAAAGTTATTTTGCAAAAGTCATTTTTTTTATTTTTCAAATTGATTCTAAATAAAAATAGGTGATGTCATTTTTATAAGTTTTTAATGATTAAAATGGTAAAATTTTGAGGATTTCAAATCTACATTTCATCCGCTTTTTATTTCATTCCAAAATAAAAGAAAAAGTAAAAAATAAAATTAAATTAAGAATTTAAAGTAATTAACACAATGTAAAAAAAAAAAAAAAAAAAGAGTAATAGCTGGCTTTACCAAGAAAATACTAGGGTGGACAGAATTATTGTCAACTTTTCTTGAACAAGAAAATTGAATGGGGTTACCATTTTTGCAGAGAAAATGATGAACCCACTAATGTAATGTCTAGATATTATGTCTAAAAATCTTATTATTATGAATAAGATACTATATTAATTTTGTAAAAAATTTTAATACTTAAAATGACAAACTTTTTAATAAATTTAAATGGTCTTTTAATATGATTTTATTTTATTTCATTTCACTTAAAAAAAAAAAAAGAGAAATATATAAAAGAGAAAACTTTTGGGAGAGATAAAAATGGGGGTGAGAAAATCCACGGGCAGATCTGCAGCAATTGAAAGAAAAAGACAGTCCACACAGAGACAGGGCGATATTAAGAATATCGTTTTCGATACCCCTTTGCATCTTAGCAATTCTTAGGCGAACTTCGTTCGTACCATCATATCTCCATCTCTGTATCTCAGCCCATGCTATATATATAAATACATAATATATATATATATAGAGAGAGAGAGAGAGACAGAGCGGGAGAGAAGAGATTGAATGGTGTGTGGATAAGGGAAGAAGAAGATGTTGGAATTGAGAGTGGAAGGGGGTTGCTATCCCGAGGCTTTACTGGGAGTGAATGTGGGTCTTGCTTTTGTGGATGCTGCAATTGCTGTTTTTGCCCTCGCTCAGGTACTGCGCCCGGGCTTCAGCCTCAATTTATTCATTTTCATGTGTATTTTTTTTTCGTTTGAGGGAATTTGATCGTTTGAAGTTGTATATGGGGTTGGTTTAGTGATTCGGGGTTTCAATTGGTTTATGAAATTTGATGTTGTGGTTTCTGAGATTTTTGCACCTGAAATCCAATGGGTTGGTTAATTGATTAATTCGTCTTTCTGTTTTGGTAAAAGTTGTAAAGGTGGATGTTTTCCTCTTAATCATATCTGCCTTTTGTCATTTTTTTTGCTTTTAGAGCTGGGATTTGATGATTACTGGTTTATTATTGATGCAAAATGCACTTCAAACCTTAGATTGATGTTTCTTCCTGATGGGAATTTGCTGGGGCACTGTATATTAGATGTTTTATTGTGCCTGGTAGGCTTGCAAATGAAGGGTGCTCTACTAGTTACCAAAAAGTAGAGCTTCTGAGTTCTGACCAGATTAGGGATACTGCAGAGTTGTTAGTTTTTAATGTCTTCAAAATACTATGATGGTTCATGCCATTTGTGATATATATTTATCAGATTGGTGTGTATGTTTTACTGAATCATGTTGATTTATTGAGTACCCCGTTTGTAAATTCTTAAGTTCCATTTGTATATAAAATTTTTATTTTTATTTTATAACTTGAAAAGCTGCTTTGTAGCATTTTCTTTTTCTCACTTGGTGTGCTTTTACTTGTTTCAGTTACTGAGAATTCATTCTAGAAATGCACACGTTGGATGGACTCGTCAAAAAGTAAGTAAAATAATTTTCAATTGTCCACTTGTTTCTTTATAGTATCTGAATGGGACGTGAGAATAGACACACCTTCATGATTGGGGTTATTTAGTGTGATGAATATTTATGTAATACTTAAGTTTGGGAAACCACTCGCCTACAGGGGTCTCGAGTCTTGTAATATTGCAATTGTATCCATTATCTCTTGCAGACTTATTGTGATGGAAATATGAATCACCCAAGAAATTATTCGCACAGAATTACTTATCCTCTTGTAAATAGTATCAGTGACAGATGCATGTGGTGCAGAAAATGTGTTACCCAATTTGTTCTCATTTTCAATAATATAAATTCCATATTTTTTTTTGAATAGTCCATCATGACTAATCTCTTCATCAATAGTATAGTCAATCCTCTTGCTCTTTTTGCATCTTGATCTGCTGGCCTCCACTTGGTTTCTGCTGCAAGTTTCAACTTTCAACCTTGTAGCACCATAAGCATTCAGAGTTTATGGACTTTTTCTTCATACATGCGTATTTTGTGCAAGTGATTTTTCTTCTCGATAGCATTTTATTTCTTTAAAGATATACTGTTGCTTAGCCTAATATGGGCGTTTTAGTATTTTACCATATTCAATTTTACGTAAGTGTGTTCATTGAATAGTTTAATGATATTTTATATATAACTGAATTGATTTGGGCTGTTTTGTATACAATAAAAACCGTAACTAGTATAGTTAAGAAAACTGCATTAGTTTGATTTTCACTGGTAAGACAATTTGAATGGTTAGGAATGAATCACCTTAATTTGATAAAATTGCATTTTGATAGAAAATTTATTTTTAAGTTTTTGACTATCTTACTAATTATTAACATTTTATTTCTCACAAGAAAAAGGAAATACGGGATGTAATGATGTATATTTTCATTTTACAATAATTAATAAAAATCCAATAATGCTTATGATTCTTAAAATTATAAACTGGATACATGTGACGTCACAAAAACTGAAACCATTGGTTATTCAACATTTAAATTTTTTTGGTTTTTCAGGCTGTTATAAACAGTTTGAATGTTTAGGTGAACACTCTTAACTTTTATGTATGCAAATTGGCCTGTATTATGCTTCATAATTATTATATTTCATTAGGTTGACAAATCCTCAGTGTCGAATTGTTGATTGCAGGTATTTCATCTAATGATTGGGCTGTCAAATTTGGGTAAGAATCTATCATTTACTGAGTAACAAAACACCCCCCCCCCTCCCCCCCCCCCCCCCCCCACACACACACACTCTCTCTCTCGGAAAAAAACATAAAAACACAGCATCCAGAATTACTTTAATTTATACTCATGCTCATTTCAAAAGCATATAGGGTTATGAGGAATTAAGTATATTGTGTTGCTGGAATTCTAAAATGCTGAAACATTTACTTTTTGTGAGGAAAACCTATAATACACATGCACACTCAAAGATAGTATAAGTTATGACACAAGATTGATTATATAGTTCTTGATATTGGCAGGTTATTTTTTTTACTTTGTGTTAACCCCCGTTGCTGCATGTCATGATTGGGTTTGTTGGTCACAATCCTGTGGTTTTATTGTCATGGGTATGTGCAATTTCATCATTTCATTTTCAATTTATTGATCTCAGATTTTCATTGCGACAACCAAAAAAGTTAACTTGAACACTCTAATATACCATGTGCAGCTTTCCCCAAAATTCTCTTTCTTGCCGCATACCTTCTCCTTCTTTCATTCTGGTATGTATTTTCTTATCTTCTTATTGACTTTGTTTAGGACTTTCTTCTAAATCTATTATTATGCACATGCATTATGGATACATGTCAAACTACAAACTAAAATTGGGACATTATGGTATTTGACTATTTGTTATTTGCTGACTTTGAACATCATTTATTGGTCAAAGTAGACAACCAATTGCAACTTGTGTAAACCATGAATATATATGATAGGTAACACAACAGTTTTTGATAAGCAAACACATTTTAGCAAACTGACCCAAATTGTTTTGTGTTGAAGTAAACATGTTTGTTATAGACTTAAACGATTTAATGGTTGAGTCCCAGCATATTATAACTGAACCAAGCTAAAGAACGAAGGGGCTTTGGTGGAGATTAGATTTGCATTTTGGAAAGATGGTATAAAGAAAAAGAAAAGAATCAACATCAGAATCATTGTTTTATTTTCTTTGCCTCTCTGGGTTTTTATTTCATAAAATATCTGCTGCATAAGTATCTGTGTTAGTTTATTGTATCCTTAAAGTCTCAATAGTCCATTTTGTCTAATATATGTATCCACAGTTATTTCTGTTATTATTATCTCTTTTATTTATTTATTTGTTGAATTTCATATGCCCAAATTCTGAATAGTCAATAGACCATTAAACTTCTAATTAAGTCAAGATACTAAGTACTAACCAGCTTAAAAAGGGATCAAAATCATGCACAGGAGTTATGTCATTATAATTATTACTCGTGAATCAGTGAATTTTGTTCTATAATAATGAAACTAAAATTCTTATTGAATTGATTTAAGGGTCGACCTTTGTCATCAGTCAAATGATGAAGAAGATGATGATGAAGGATATAATCCTCGGGAAGCTCTGCTGGATAAGACAAAACCATGTTCTGATGTTGATAACCACAGGAAGTGTTGCTCATTCCGTGCATATCATGTTGGAAGCCGCCAGAAAGTTGTGATACTGGTAAAATTTTGAATGTGCATGTCTTCTACATAATAAAATGCATTCTTTTTACATTTATGTTCCATCTAATTCATGCTACTTTTTTGACCAGGTGACATTTTTAGTTTTTGTATTAATGCTGGCAGCTTCTGTGCTAATGTGGATTGGGAGAGGGGAAAATCCTATTGATTCATCTGTTGTGGCACGGGTATGATAAACAGATTCCTCATAGAGGCTGGAACTTTAAACCCTCTAAAATAGTTTTTTACACATACTTACATAATGCAATAAAATATTTGATCATCCAGGTATACGTAGATCTCTTTTCCATTTCAGTTCTTCTGTTGGGAGCAGCATTGGCATGCTATGGTTAGCATTTTTTCCTCTCTTTAAATTTCCCCTTTGATAATTGATTATAACTTATTTCTGCTTGGTTTTACTTGGCCCCACTAGGGGAGGGCAGAAGTGTTGGACTTTCACTTCTAATTTCTATCCCCTTGAGACAAGTTTATTCACAAGGTTGAATGATATGGAATTGCTAGTTTATTCTTTTTGTACTTGCATCAGTAATAACAACAGTTCTACATATTGGATAAATAATCATATAAAATATTTTAAGTGCTAATAATTTGATTAATTTATTTAGAAGCACTCTTTTTGTCAAATGTGATGAAGCATCTTTATAATTAGGATAACCCAATGAATATCAATGGTATGCAATTTTAATTTATCTGCAATAATTTGTGGAATTCTGGTATAGTTTGTACTTTTTTATTTGAGCTTCTCTATGGACTGAAGCAGTCTATAATGGACGTCCACTTATCATATAAGAATTATTGTTTCAAGCAAGCTACATTATAAAGTTAATCACTGTTGCAAAAACCGGCCTAGGCAGCCACTTAGGCACCAATTACGCGATAGAGGGGATTTTACCCTTAGGCAAACATTAGTCGGCGGCCTAGGCGCCTGAGTTGACCAGCTGTTTTTCTTATTATGCGCTAGGCAGTGACTAGCGCCTAGCGCCTTCTACAACATTGAAGTTAATTAAAGTTTAGAAAGAATTTCATAAAAGATCATGGGAAAATACAAAGTGAATGTTGAATGAGATGCTCTTTGTCTACTAATACTAATAGTCTAAGTCATACTCCCTTACAAATGTTGATTATGTTTTTTCATATCTTGAAAGCACTGTGTAGTAACTTCATTACTCCCTCTGTTCAGAAAATATTGTACCCTTTGATAGTACATACAAATTTAGGAGAAAATATTTAGTGCATTGACTAAGTGATATATTTTTTTTTGTCCATAATAATTAATAAATATATTGTAAATTTAAGAGTACGAGACATTTTTGTATTGAGCATTAAATGTATAAGTAATAAATATTACTATTTCAAATTCTTATTTAAAGGTATTTTGGGTAATAAATAGTAAATGACTAAATGTTGTATTTATGGAAAGTGAATTTTTATGGACATCCCAATATAATGAGGACAATTTTTTGACGGACAAGGGAAGTATTTATGTCATAAAAAACTTCTTTCTCAACGTTACAGCGCAATCATTCATCTATTGATATTGCAAGTAAAATAAATTCTATCCTTGCAGTTATTTTTGAAGTGCCTTCAAAAGTCCATATGGTTAATCAAGCTTTAGATTCCTTAAGAATCAATGATTGATGCTTTTGCTATGTGGTTGGCTTTAGATAAGACACTATTGATAGTTTAGGGTTCAATCAAGTGCTTAGATTTTTAAGAATTTATATTATTATCTTCATTTTTATGTTTCGTCTGAAATTTTGATCCTGCTGTGTATAGTCTGTACATCTTTTAACTGACTACTAATAAGACATATACAACAACTGCATGTTATATATAATATATATACTTAAAAATAATTCCAGTGGGGTCATTTCACTCATTTGACCCCATCAGTGGTACATTGCAGATTTGCAGTCACCACTAGGTGTATAGGCAAACATATTGAATGTGATGGTGTGACTAACAACTTGTTCACAATTATACAGTTCCATATATATTGTTCATTTGTTCAGGCGTCAAAATTCTGTATTCAGAAGGTTTCTTGATTTTAAATTTCATTTAATGCGCCTTCACTTGTGACCATTTAACTGAATTTTCTGTTCAGGGCTTGTATTGTTTCTGAGAATGAGAAAAGTCAGATCTGAAAGGGCCTCATCAGAAATGCGGAAGGTGACTAATTTGTCCTCCTCCTAATGTACAAACCATTTGGACTATCTGCATGTCAATGCAATATTCAGTAGATGGGTTATCAAGTTGATATTTAGATTACAGTATTCACCAGAATCCACTATATTTTCCAATTTCCTTGAAAACTTTTCATTGAATTATTCAATTTAAGACGTAACTCATTCTAGCAAAATCCTATTCAATTGCACCAGTATATGGTCATTTGCTAGTGGGATGTGATGTCTTACCTCTAATGGGTGCTCACCAGAAATGGGTTCTTTTCCCCTCCCACCCCCCCCTCCCCCCATGTTTTATTTAACCTCTCTATGCAACTTCTGTGAAAATGATATTCTGGTGCATGTAGTTGGTCTCAACTGAGCTTTAGGTTTTGCATGTTTGTTATAATTATAAAGTTCCAACTTCTCATTTTCTTTTGAATTATTACATCTTTTGTATTCTCATGGCATGCAGGTTGCGGGGTTAGCCAGTGTTTCCATTGTTTGTTTCACTTCAAGTGCTCTTATTGCTATTTTTACAGATATACCAGTATGTTGCTCTCACTGATCTTATGAAATTTTGTCTTACCACCTGTTTTATCTAATATTTGTTTCTAATAAGTATTGAATTATTGCAGCTGCTTTATCACTGGGATGGACAACAGATAAATAGTTTTAGTACATCACTCCTCTTGGTTTTGTATTATTTTATAGGTATGCGCTAATTTTCCATCCTTCTATTTCATATGCAATTGATGCTCTTTTCTTTAACTTGAACCAACAAATTCAAGAACCATAGTTTAAGTTTTCTGGGGTTTGCTTTTTTCAGGTTCTTCAGTACCGTCAGCATTTGTATTATGGGTGATGAGAGAACTACCTCCTCTTCTTGTAACTCAAAGTCAACAAGAGTCGAGGACAATAGCATTCATTAGTGATAGCTCGGTGACAGTACATCCTCAGAGGTGGACTACTGTTGCAAGCATGCAAAATCAGGTTTCATTTCTTTGTTACGACTTGCTATATGCCTTATATATGTTTTAACGCCATCACACTTGGTCAATAGCACATATATTTATTCTGCACAATATTGTTGACACCAATGTTTGTACACTCTGGTTGCCCTGAGAACTGCACATATAAGCTAGGAATCAAGACCAGTGAATTTGTAAAATGCACATCTTTTTGGTTGACTGAGAAAAATTCACGGGTGTGCACTAGGTAAACCATGCTTTGTGACCTTAGTCAGCAAAGGATCACAAGGAGGTAAATCAGCTTAGGTTGCCCATATAGTTGACCAGCTCAATCAAAAAGGTCAATAGACCGTTTCCGATAAGAGTTGAACTTATAACATTGTGGTTATCAAGTCAACAACTTGACTAACTTGGATGAGGTTGCCCGTAAAATGCACACATCTTGTTTGGAGTAAGCAAAATCAGGAATACGCAAATAGATTGAATTATTTACAAATCAGAATGTTTATTGCTAACAATGGTACTTGTTTGATGTAGGCGTCAAGAGCAAGCCCTATATGATCATGTGTTGTAGATGAGTGGTGATTTTGGACTCCAGTGTCGAGTCACTTTCTGAATACTGTCAGTACCGGTGCCAATGTGAAAAACACTATCGAGGAAATGAAGAGAAACACGTACGTTTGGTGGCATCACTCTACGAGGATGAGCTCGGGGTACATCTATCTGGAAGGCTGTTGCAGCATAGCTCTTGACAAATTAGGATCTTGTACATAGCAACGCTACACAAAACTTCTATCTGTTGAGTTGGTTTCTGTTAACATACAAGGCATTTAGATCTTCAAGCATCTTAGTTCTTATGCCCTGTACTCATTTTCTGAAATCTAAGCTATTAGTTTCACTGGCTAATAATTGCTATTCTTGTTTATCTGTAAAGAATGTTCCTTATAGCAGTTCTTCATTTTCATTTCAGTACAACACAGAAGATTCAAATTCAACAAAATCCTTCAAGAAATTGCATATTTGTTAAAGTTTGTTTGGCATAAAACACAGATGCTTAAATAAAAGTACTTTTATTAACAGGTGTGAAAGACTGTATGAATCAAATGTCTAAACTGTTAACAGGGAAAGATGAGAGATTTTGCAACCTAAAGGGCATTAAATAAGAAGAAAAGGCAACAAAATGGAGAATAAACTTTCAGCAACAGTAATTTTCAGAAAAGTTGTAATTCTGGGAAGATGCAATTAGTGCAGGCAGCTTTCCACAAACTTGTGTCTTTTCACCACTTTCAAAGTCCTAAAATCCTACCCTGTATATGAAACGTTTCATTTGGAAAAGATGTTGCGAGATAAACTACTCCAGCTTCTCAAAATAGCACACACAACGCCCTAGCAAACAAGCAATCTGAGCAGCGAATGTCTAGAGAGTTACTTGGCTTGGGGCCTCTGCAGCAGCAAATCATTTGTGTCGAGATTTCTAGGAATTGTTTAAAAGATTCAACCTTTACAAGGTGGAAGCTAGTAGCACCGCGCAAAATAGTAGTTAGGGCCAAAACCAAGATGCATCGAAGCATTAAAACAAATCTTAGATGAGAAAACAGATTACCTTCTGAAATCAAATTACTTTACTTCTCTTCTCACAGATCCAAAATCCTCCGGAGGCCAGACCTTCGTAGAAAATCAATAGCTTAAGAGTTGTGACTTAAGATAGAAGAATGCCTATTGTGTGAAATTGTTAGCAACACGATTGAAAAAATGAATCAATCGAGGGTGAAATCTAATCAGCACGTTTATGACACACTAATGAAATATTGAAATTTCAGTTTTCTCAAGAAAAATAGATGCCCCTTCATCAGGACCATTAATCAATCACAATTCAAGATTCATTCAACCATGAAAATCTTTGTTGAGAGTTACAACCATATAGATAAACTGGTCCTTTAGCAAATGCTGATAGCACAGATTCCATTATCTGACAAATTCTGTTTCTATCTTATGACATAATGAGAAGAAAAATCAAATGAGAGCTGCAGCAATATACCAAGTTTAACGATTACACATCCAAACAGTTGTGAATTACAATTCTTTTAAGGTCAGTTCTATTGAGCTACAGATTAGAAATGTAGCAATGGAACCAAGAAAGTATACTTTCAACCAGAAAATTTAAATGAAATGAAGAATAACTCACAATCCAAATGATTCTGCCCTGAACAAGTCCATATGGAACTGGCCCAAATTTCCTTGAATCAGTTGTATTATACTTGAAATCTCCTTCTATCCAAACATGCCCTTTTGGTACCTATCAAGAATTACTTTCATTATTAGCAACAGAAAATGAGCTCTATTCTGCACAATCAAATACAAAAGGATACAAGTTCGACTCCTTGAGATAAAACCTGACAATTAACCAGACTAGGAAAATACAAGCAAAGAATAAAGCTTTAGGGATTAGGGATTTTATGAATACCACAATAGTGTCTTCTTTCTCGCTATTCTTCGGGTCCGCAACAAATTTAACAGTATCACCAGCAACGCCCACCACTCGCTTGCTGATAATCTTCCTAGGGTTTTCGGGGCTCCGAACCAGGACCACATCTCCGGGCACTACTTTGCCGAACCGGGTCGATAGCCGTTCCGCCAAGACAAAGTCTCCGGTCAAATTGAACGTCGGGAGCATACTGGGCCCTCTGGTCTGCCGGAAAAAAGACAAGAAAATAAGGTATTTGAGCATTACAGAGCTGAAAGTGGAGGTACACGTGGTGATGCTTACCATAGCGAAGGTACAAACATAGGTGTTGGTGATGTGAATTGCACAGAAGAATTTGGCAACACGGAAAGATTGAAGGAAAGCTTCTTTGATGAGAGGAGTCCATTTCTGCAGATTTTCTACGCCCATTCTCGCTCTCTCATCTGCTTGATATGGAGATTCGAGGGATTTATGAAGGTTTTGTATCAAGAAGCTAGACAATTATTTCCATGGCTTGACAATTATACCCCCTTTCGTATCCCACATTGCTTGCGTACTTGCATGACATGGATAACAAGGTTTCACTTAATTTATTTATAATTTAATTTTAATAAATATACATTTATAATCGTTATTATAAGACAACTCAACCAAAATCGATAAGTAGTCATCTCTCTGCAACATTATATTATAAATTAGACGAATTAGTCATCTCTCTACAACATTATATTATAAATTAGACGAATTATGCTGTCACGTTGTGATCGAGTATATTATCATGTTACCTGGTCAACTAAACACAATAGCTAACTAAAGAGTGTCACATTAGCCTACTAAATTGAAGGTATTATCTTGCATTCTTGCCTTAAGTAACTTGCATTGAATTGTCGTGTATAAATAGCCTTCCATCTTGAGTACAAGGTCACCCTCTTCGATCTACACCTCTCATCTCTACTTATACTAATCTATATTACTATATCTTCTTGATCGAAGCTATATAATCACATTATCCCGCAATTTTTCCAACCCCTTTATTTATCTCGATATATTTTGTGTAAATATGGATAATTAACTATTAGTTTGATTTAATTTTCGCGTTGAGTTTGAAAACTACATTATGCATTTGATAGAAATAGGCAATAGTAATTTGTGTAGTCTTGTGAATAGCAACAAAAGGAATAAAGATTTGAATCAATTGGGCAAAAAAAAAGAAAAAGTTTACATGCTCACATTACTTCAATCCATTTCACATGATACATATATGGATAACACCTTTAGGGTTACCACTCTCAATCACATTTTACATTCACTTTCCAGGAACGAAGTTTGTGGCATATGCCCAGGCATTGTTGTTGACTGGGTCGGCAAGGTGGTCGGCGAGGTTTTCCAACGGCCCTTTTCCGGTGACAATGGCCTGAACAAAGAACCCAAACATTGAGAACATGGCGAGCCTTCCGTTCTTGATCTCCTTCACCTTCAGCTCAGCAAAAGCTTCCGGGTCGTCGGCCAGCCCCAATGGGTCGAAGCTGCCGCCGGGGTAGAGCGGGTCGGTGATCTCTCCGAGCGGCCCGCCGGCGATGCGGTAGCCCTCCACGGCGCCCATCAACACCACTTGGCATGCCCAGATTGCCAGGATGCTTTGGGCGTGGACCAAGCTTGGGTTTCCCAGATAGTCCAGTCCTCCCTCGCTGAAGATCTGAGCTCCGGCCTTGAACCACACGGCCTCGCCGAACTTCACGCCGTTCCGGGACAAAAGCTCCGGGAAGACGCAGCCGAGAGCGCCGAGCATAGCCCATCTGCAGTGGATCACCTCCAGCTCACGGTTCTTGGCGAAAGTCTCGGGGTCGGCCGAAAGCCCGGCGGTGTCCCACCCGTAGTCGCCGGGGAACTCGCCGGTGAGGTAGCTCGGGGGCTCGCCGGAGAATGGGCCCAAGTACTTAACCCTGTCCGGGCCGTACCACGGGCTGCCAGATGAAACGGGCTTCGCCACGGTCTTCCTCATGGTAAACTTCGCGTTTCCGGCGACCTCCGCAGTGGACGGCGAGAGCTTGACCGCCTTTCCGGCGAAGGAGGTAGAAGAAAGAGCCATTGTGGAAGCAGCCATGGTTTTAGTTTGGAGAATAGACGGAGAGTTAACGGTGGTTGGCGGTGGAGATAGCGGCGGTAGTTGTTAGTTATATATAGGGAAAGTCCTTATCCTAATGTATATCTTTATCTGCATTCTGATTGGGTTTCAAGATTCTATAGATTTGTGGGTTTTCTCCACGTGGCAGTTCCTAATCCATCAATCCCATCATGATGACTCCAACCAGTGGCAAAGTAGGTGATGCTATCCAAGATAAGATCACATCAACTATTTCATATCAACCTTTGATATTATTGGACAACGCATATATTATGTTCCAAATGACCAAATGCAGATGCCTTGCATTGGCAGCAATAAAAAAAAAAAAAACTGAAAATAAATAAACCTTAATTAAAGGGATTTATGATATTTAGAAATTATAAGCTATTATAGATTTTTAATTATTTAGTGGTATATCTATAAGAAATTTAATGTGAGGTACACCAAATTTAGTATATGAATTCAATAATATAATAGTAGCAAAAAATCATTCCTTTAAATTAATTTATTTTTCTCTTTGTGTTTTTTGGCAAATTATGTTGTGGAATCATGTCCACCTTAGAGCATCCACATTTGTGGATTATATGGAGTTATTTCAGAATTAATTCTCCCACCCAAGATAATAGCTAATGGGGGAAGAATTATTTGAGAAATAACTCTCCTGCAAATGAAGGAAGAATTTAGAAATGGTGGGACCCACCACAAAAAGTAAAAAAAAGGACCACTGGTGACAGCCACGTATGGCTGTCACCAAAGCGCACAGCGGGCGCGTGCGCCCGTCTGGCGCGCCTGACAGTCTTAATTTTTAATTTTTAATTTTTTTTTTAAAAAATTAATTTTCCTTTTTTTTTTTCCTTTTTTTCTCTCCCCTACCATCTTCTTTTTCCTAATCACTCTTACATTATCCTCCAATTCTCCCCAACAAATGTGGATGCTCTTAATGGCGTCGTTTTCGTTGAAAATGACGTCGTTCTAATTAAAAATAATATTTTATTTTTCACTTGTCGTTAACGGCGTTTCTCTCTTTTTGCAACCACATTGTTTTTACAGTTTAGAAATTATGAATTTACTGTATAGAAATTATGAATCTACAGTATAAAAATTATGAATCTACAGTATAAGATTTGTAAACATGTGATAGAGCTATATGTTCATAATTTTATAAATATATATTCATAATTATAAAGCTATATGTTCATAATTTTCGATGTTCAGATTCCCAATTGTTGAACTTTGTATTCACAAATCACAGAACTATATGTTCATAATTTGATAACTATGCAGTTTAGAAATTATGATCTATAGTACGGAAATTATGAATCTATAGTACATAAATTATGAATATATAATACAGATATTATGAATCTGTAGTATATAAATTATGAATCTACTATATAGAAATTATGAATCTACTATATTTAAATTATGAATCTACGATTTAGAAATTATGCAGTTTAGAAATTATGAATCTACAGTACATAAATTATGAATCTATAGTACAGATATTATGAATCTGTAGTATATAAATTATGAATCTACTGTATAGAAATTATGAATCTACTATATTTAAATTATGAATCTACGATTTAGAAATTATGAATCTACAGTATAGAAATTATGGAGGATAACGGTGCCACTAACAGCACCGTTATTCAACCACATGAAAACGGCGTCGTTTGGAACCGTGCCCACCTTGCAAGGTGGGCACGGTTCCACAGCATAACAATGCGTGTTTTTCTCCCTGATTTTTCTAACGCTTAGAGCATCCATATTAGTTTGATATCTTTCACTATTTTTTAAGAGCCAACAATGAGAGAGAAGGAAAAAAAAAAAAGTCTGATGCAAACAGTACACGAATTTTTATTTATTTACTTTTTTTAAAAAAAAAGTAAGGGAAGACGCGCCAACTCACTTGGCTAGCTCGCCCCGCCCCACCAAAGATGTAGGGCGGCTTTGAATTTTATGACTCGTATTTTGGTAGGCTTTTTAGCTCACTCCCGTCAAAATGACAGGCTTGACGGGCAGACAGGGGCCAACCAAGCCCACCTAGCATGTTTACATTATTAATATTAGTGTGTATATATATATATATATATATATATATATATATATATATATACATCATTTTATATAATTATATATATAAATATATGTTTATTTATTTATTTATATTGAAAAAAATGTATTAGTAATTAGTACATTGTATAAAGTATTTTTGTTGGTTAATAGATTAACAAATTATGTTAATTGATTATTTATTAGGACTTATTACTTTATTAGTTATCATTGTGTTTAACAAATTATAAATGTATTAATATATATATTTAAACTATCCAAATTATTTTAGTATACACTTACTAATTTCTTAATATTAGTTTTATTGAGAAAATGGTCAAATAAGCCCTCAAACTTTAGCTAAAAAGTCAATTAGTCCCCTAAATTTTTTAAAGGTGCAATTACACCCATCAACACTTTATTTTGGTGCAATAAAGCCCAAAAACAGGTTAATGACCTGCAATCACAGGTCATTAGAGTTCCGGCCACTCTCCGACGAAATTTCCGACAAAAAAATGATCGGCGACAATTGCCAAAATTCCGACATAAAAAAAAGTGACATGTGACCACCGGTCACGGAGAAAACACCCGATCACCTTCTACGTGGAGTAGGCGACCGCTAGGTCACCTTCTACGTGGAGAAGGGGACCCAAATATGGGTTGCCTTCTCGTTGGAGGAGGCAACCCAAATGTGGTGGAGAAGGCGACCACTGGGTTGTCTTCTCTACGGAAAAGGTGGCCCAGATCTGGGTCGTCTTCTTTGGCGAGAAGGGGATCCAGATCTGAGTTGCTTTCTCGCCGGAGAAAGTAACCAGTGATCAATTTGGACCTTATTTCAAATTAATATAACTTTAGAACGCGAATCAAATCTATTTTTTTTTTTTTTTATCAAATTTTCATTCCTCAATATACTAAAAAAATTCGAGTACTCAAAAATTATGCTGGAGTTGACCCAATAACGTAACTCTTAAAAGGAAAAATATATTTTAGATTGCATGATATTTACAATTTAGGCTTGATTCCCCCTCTCAACAAGAGGAACTTCAGATGGTTCATTTTCATCTTTCTCCTTCGTCTCCTCAAGATACTCATCATACGCAAAAGACAGAAATCCCCACACAGCCAACACCATGGAAATCACCTTCACCCCATTCATCTCGTCGTGGAGAACCACGACCGCCGCCGCCGGAACCACCGGCACCGACAACATAATAAGCACGTTAGCGAAAAGCCCGGAAACCTTAAGCAACAACCCAAGAACGCCGACAGTGAACATCTCCCAGCACAGAGCCTCCCAAACCAAAGTCATAACGTAAGACACTTGCCCGAGCTGGAAACCCCTCATCTCCGCCCCCAGCGTCCTCCACTCCCCGCTGGCAAACAGCCCGATCACCACCGCGCAGGTGGCGATGATCGATAGGATTATTAAGAAATTCAGCACGTCTCTGAGAGTGCATTTCTTGACGAATTTGTTGAGAATGATTTGGCCGAGGGTGAGTGTTAGCCCGAACAGGGCCGACCCCATTAGAGTGCAAATGCAGCCGATAATGAAGTGTTTTTTGCCGGCGGTGGACTGGCTTTCCTGGATTTCACGCTGATTCAGCGGCTGGAAGAAGAGCAGAACGGAGGAAATGGTGAGGAGGAAGATGGAGTTGATGATGAGAGGAGTTAGCTTTTGGGCGTGAGTGAAGAAGGCGAATAAGGCGTTGAACCCTAGCTGGCTTGCGGTGATTAGAGTGAACGTAGATACAGTGAGATATTCCATCCCCACCGAGTATAACAAGCTCCCTCCGGCGACTAACATCCCGAAGAGGAGATAGTTCGCGGCGCGGTATAAACAGGACGGCGATTTTGTGCGGCTAGCGGCGTCGCCGTCGTCGTCATCTGCCGCAGGGGAGGTTTTAATGAAAAGGAAGGGAATGAGGATCGGAAAGGCGGCGACTTGTACTAGCGTGCCCATCCATTTGCTGTTGCCGCCTTTTTCGAAGTAGACTCTGCCGAGGATGGTGGCGACTGTTTGTCCGACGAGGACGAACACGGAGTAGGCCGATATTTCCAGCCACCGCCTGCCGTGTCTCCTCATCCAGCCGCCGCCGGCGCCGCCGTTTTCCGCTTTCTGTGAATGATTTTCTACTCTTATTGCTTCTTCTTGGACTGTAAAAAGATCATGGGGAAACAAAAACTCTTTTCTTTAGTTTTTGCTCACAAAAAGTAAATTTCAATCATTCTAACTTCTGGAAGCGTAAATCACACTAATTCAATGACATAATAGGTATGAGGAGTAGTGTTTGATGCCCAGCATATTAGGTATAATTCTCATATTGCCTCTAAGAGAGTTAAATTTTTTGTCCATAATTTATCACCTAAGAACCAATTGTTTGTATGGCTACTTAGTAAATATATATACCCCTCATGTAATTTATATCGTGGACCCTGATCTAATACATATAATTTGATTTCATAAGGTACACAATTCATGTTTATAATGCACAAAATCATAATACACATACACATAACACGATATAATGAACATAAATTGTGTATTATGAACATGAATTTTGTGTATTATGTTAAATGTTTATGTGTTCTCAGCTATATAATACACATGATTCATGTTCTAATACACAAAATTCATGTTCATTATATCGTGTTTATGTGTACTTGTAGTACAAACATGAATTCTATGTATTGAAATTGTAGACCCTGATCCACGATATAAAGATCATTTTGCAGCTAGCATCTAATTTACCAGACATGTTTTTAAAATCAGCTATAAACTAGACAAATTAAATTCACCAACTCAATCCGCTAAGAGCTATTTGTGGAATACCCAAAAAGCAATTGAAAAGCTAGCTCTGCTGCTCTTGATCGAGAAACTTACCAGTAGTGTCCGACTGCATGACTCGACCTTCTTCTTCTTCCATGGCAGGCATTATATTAGTGCAAGCAGGAGATCAACAGTCACAGTTATATATATTTATATATATTCTTAGGTTTTTCTTAGGATTGTTGCTGGCGAATTGAAACAAGGTTGTGTTTGGAGAAACTAATGAAATAAAATATGAATTTGGTTGGTGTTCTTCTTCTTGGTATCTCAGATGGATTTTAAGCTGAGAAAAACAAGCACAAGAAAACAATAATTCATTAGGAAAAATCAAAGTAGGTTAGTAGTTATTATCCCCAACAAAATGTCAAAAAAATACACCAAATAATTTGTAATTTTATAATTAAATTATATATACAATTACCTGTTTAAAATTGCAGCGCACGAATTAAGCTCTTACTTCTTCATAGTTCTGTTATAGTCTAAAATAATAGAAGAAATATAAATCACATAACATAATTAAACTAAGCAACCCCATTTAATTTCAGAAATTCATTGATGACTAAATTCATAGACAAACAAGAAGAAAGGGACACTTATTTAAAGAGCAGTAGTAGCACTATTCCAGAGTTGCAGCAGCTCCGATCCACACGGCGACTTCAGGTTCCGGCGACACCAAACCGGCGGCGGCACTCCACTTCGTCAGCTAGCGGCGACTACGGTTAATTTCCGGCGGCGGCGGAAGCAAAATTTCTCCAAAAATCCGCGTTCAGCGCAGCGGCAATTCCGATTTGGACTAGCTTTTTCTCTCTTCTCTCGGCCAACAGCAGCAATTCCTGAATGATTCTCTCTTCTATCGGCGTTTTCCAGAAATTTTTTTTGTTTATTTTTTTGTTTGTTTTTTTTTGTTATTTGATTTTTTTTTTGGTTTTTTTGGTTTTTTGTTTTTTTTTTTTTTTTGTTTTTTGGTTTTCTCGTTATTTTCCGCTCCGATTTCGAGAGTTGCTCTTCCCTCCGTGTTCCTTTTTTCCTTGGGATTGTTCATTGTTCTCTGCAAGCGCTGTCGTTAGTTTCCGTCATTCTTTCTCCTCCCTTCACTCACACGGACGATAACCTTACAGTCTCCTCTAACTGTATCTAACTGTATAATTAAAAAATTACACCAAATAATAATAATAATAATAATAATAATAATAATAATAATAATAATAATAATAATACAACAATAACAAATAAGAATGATAAAATAAAATATTTGTTTATGAATTAATCACTAAATTATACTCCGTAAAAGAAAACAAATTCACTATTTATTCAATATCAACGCACCCTAAACGCATAATATATTTTTTTTTAATGGAAATTTCAACATTTCAATTAATAATCACTATAACTAAATACTTGATGATGGAGGTATCATATTACTTTTTTTTTTTTCTTTTAAGGTCCACAGTTATGCCGCTCGACCACAAAGCCTTTGACAAGGTATTAGATTACTTTTTTTTTGAAGGTAGGTATTAGATTACTTAAACATTATCAATATAATGCAACAGTTATTTACGAATGCGAAAAGGGTCAAATAGACCCACGAACTTTAGTTTAAAAGTCAATTAGACCCCTAAACTTTTTAAAGATGCAATTACACCCACCAACAATTCATTTAGGTGCAATGAAGCCCAAAAACAAATTAATGACCTGCTATCACAGGTCATTAGGGTTCAGGCCCCACCTTCCGGCAAAAACAAAAGTGACCGGCGATATTTTCGGCAAAAAAAAAAGGTGACCGTCAACTGACGAACGGTCGCCGGCGGTCACTTTTTTGCCGGAAATTTCGCCATTCACTTTTTTTTTTTGCCGGAAATTTCGCCGGAAGGTGGCTTGAACCTTAATGACATGTGATAGCAGGTCATTAACTTGTTTTTGGGCTTTATTGCACCTAAATGAATTGTTGATGGGTGTAATTACACCTTTAAAAAATTTAGGGACCTAATTGACTTTTAAGTTAAAATTCGATGGCCTATTTGACCATTTTCCCTTTACGAATTAATGAAATAATAAAATAATTTTAACCGAACACGGCTTAATGTTATCCTCGCCCGAAGATCAGGCCCGTAAATCCAATTTCGAAGAGCCAATGGCACGACAAGAAATTTCTAAAATAAAATGATACATAATTTCATATTAAGGAGAAGAAAAATGAAGTATACATCCAGAGAAACATAAACTGAACCCAAAAGTCCAGAACAATGGTTGAGGGTGGCTTGATGACAATATTATTAAAGTTGTTATTGCCGATTAGTACTAAAATCGTTACTAAGTATAACCACTTATGATATGTCTAGTTACATACTTATATTATATATTGTGAAAATAAAAATTGACAGTAGTTGATATAACTCAAATAGTATATATAATTGTACGGAATACAAAAGGTTTATTGTTAGGCATTTTTGAAATTCTCATTATAAATTTGTATATATTTATATAAATTCGTTTTCGAAAGCTTATTTATATAATTTACTTTAGTTAATTTTTGCTAAGATTATTAATTTATAAGTGGCTAATAAATATTTAAAAATAAATTGATTACATCATAGTATGTGATTTTACCCGCAAAACTCACCGCAAATTATCCCCTAGAAACGTGTTCACCGTGAATGGTGAACACAAGTCCAAACGACGTCGTTTTTAGGTTAAAAAAAAAAAATCGCGGATGTGGAGTGAACGGCGCGCGTTTGATCAAATTATGAATTTTCTGTTATGAGATTATGAATGTAATGAAAATTCATAATCTCATAACAGAAAATTCATAATCGCATAAAAGTAAAATATTTATTAAATTATGAATTTTCTGTTATGAGATTATGAATGTAATGTAGATTCATAATCTCATAACAGAAAATTCATAATTTCATAACAGAAAATTCATAATCTCATAACAGAAAATTCATAATCTCATAACAGAAAATTCATAATCTCATGGTTCCAAAGTGAATGTGTAGGCATGGTTCCAAAGTGAATGTGCAGGCATGGATTCATAATTTATGAATGTCCGTGATTTCAGACGGGAATGTGTAGCCATGGTTCCAAAGTGAATGTGCAGGCATGAATTCATAATTTATGAATGTCCGAAATCATTGCTCACCTCAAATTAAAGTGAAACCGCGAAATGTGAAAATGAAGAAGAAAAGTCACGCAATTAATTTTTTTTTTTTTTTTAAAAAAAAAAGAAGAAGAAGATAACGGTGTACTAACACTGTTGGAACCGTGCTCACCATGAATGGTGAACACAGTTCCATGGCATAACGATTGCAAAACTCACATAGTATGTTAATGTCGCAATAATTTACCGGCACTAAACATACTTTTTTGAAATTTTAAACAAATTATATCTGAGTTTGATTTGTTTAACATTTAAATGTTTAAATTTGATTTAATTTATTTAAATTTTATTATTTGGTTCGTATAATTTTTTTTTTTTAAAAATATTTCATGAATAATAAACAATCTTATTTATCAAATTGAGAGGTGAGAAACCTAGAGGGTTCAAAAGAAAATTCAAATTATTTCCATATTTTTATATTTCCATCAAATCTTCGAGGAAGGGTCCAAAATCAAATCCCCTATTTGATGATTAGCATGACGATGAGTTCGGTTTCTACACACACACACAACTGTAGAATCCAATTATTGTTTGAAATCTATGGTTTTTTTCTCTTTTAATTGAGGGCAATAGAACTTTCGTGGCAAAACCAAAATACAGCAAACTACAATATATTTCACAAAATTGCTGGAAATACAAAGCCTCGATTCAGCTATGTCCAAAACCAACATCTCCCATATTAAACATTTCATATTCCATTGGTACACCATTAATTCTGTGTTTGACCATTGGAAATCTTCTGTCAGTCTTTACAACCCTGTCTTGCAGTTCTTCTCTGTAAACAAGGCAGCATGTATTAAATTATTAATAATGCAGCTAGCGATTCAACCTAGAGATGGCAATTCTATTTGCATGCAGCACAGTTGCAAAAATCGCGCCTACAAGGCGCCGGCCGGCCGCCTAACGTATCACCATCGATGGTTAGGCGACCAACCAGGTGCTGACCACCTAGGCGACCTAGTTGATCGATTAGCTATTGTTTTTTTTTTTATTTTATATTTTTATTTTATAGTTTTTTCAAATTGGTTATTTCACTCAAAACGACGTCGAGCAAAATAACCCTAAATCGTTCAAATCCTAAATGTTTTTTAGGTTAATATTTAATATTAAATTATTAATTATTAAAGTATTAAATAATTTATAATTTTCAAGTCTTAAAGAAAAAACAAATTAAAAAAAAAAAAAAAAAACGCCTAGCAATTTTTTCAACTATGCATGCAAGTGTAAATTATGGCGGATGGCATGAGAAGCTTACTCAGGCAAGGATCTGAAGAAGAATTAAAGAAACTATGTATAAACACACAGAAATTGAGATGCCAGCAATAAAGTTGTGGAACAGCTTCTTATCGTCTTTTGTGGGTACAAAAACTGTCTTCAGAGTGTTGGTTAGTTCGAAAAGCCTATAAGATACCTGCAAGATGATACAGGCAAAGAAGAATTAAGATAAGATAGTGAACCGGATGTTTGGAAAGATTAAAAGGGTGAAGATTTCCACATACCAAGACATAAATGGCAGAAGTAAGCATGAAGTTAAGTAAAGGATAGCCGGGGAGAAGTGAAAGAAGCCACTTAGGCTGCCCGTTTGGCATATTTGATCTGCAAATACATTTCAGAGCAACAAGGAGATACAATTAGTTTTATAGAGTCTTGGCAGAAAGAGATATAAAATGACTCAATGAGGATGAAAAAGCTAAAAAGAAATAATCAAATGCAAACATAGAAATCATAGCCAGATGTGAAGTTACAGTCCACATTACCTCAGCCAGATGTGGAACTGTGAGATATAGGTTTCCAAGGTAACTTTACCAAGCCACCTAGTACAACAAAGGAAATCAAATTAAGACAAGCATTGAATTTGGCACTTCAAATGTCGTTTTAAGGAACAAAACACCATTTTACCAAAATATGAATCTGCAAAGCTTGAGCTTTGCAAAATCCATGAAGACAGAAAAAACAAGGAAAAATAAAGCAAAAGAGAGTAGATCTAATTGGACAGAACAGAACAAGGAGCACATGGAGGTTCATGATTTAATAGAAAACTTACGCAAACAAGGTCAATGAGACATTACGAAGCTCCTGAGTGAAGTTCCTCAAGCAAATGTAAACTCTGGTAAGACAACAAAGCAAATGAGTTAAACTAGCGGAACAAATCAGCTTTTCTATTCGTATTTTCTATTTTCAGAACTTAGCAAACAAGCAGGTCTCTATACTTTCTAATAGAATTCTAAGTTTATAGAACACTGACAGAATACTTTAGAAGACACTAACAAAAAAAGAATTGAAAGTTACGTACGTTATAGGAATCCATGATGTGTACGGGTGTAACTTGTTGTAGCTAACTTTGTCAAGTTTGTATATATATTCATACCACAAATATCCAACCTGCAAGTCAGAACTAGCCAGAATGAGATAATATCAAGAAACTCCAAAGGCATAATATATTAATATGCAACATCTACTATTATTGGCAGTAAGCATGAGGAAAAAAAAATGCAGCCCACCATTGAAGAAACTGCAACAACAGATGCTTTGATTGTGCGTCTCCGTTTGGTTTCAGATTCTTCCAATTTCTCCATCCATTTTTCGACCTACAATAAGAAAATTTCTCAAAGATAATTCCCACAGAGACTAAAAATAGAAACAAAGAAAGATGAACAAAGAATAGAAGTTCTAATTTGACTTTACATTAGGGTGAAAATAAGCATATATCATCCCAACAATCCATATGTACCGATCAAGTCCAGATCTGAAGTGCCATTCATGCATTCGAGGGAGTTCTGGCTTTGCAGGATCAGTATAACCTAATGTTGAAAGTAACTAAGATCAGTTTACAAAAGTTTAAGCCAACAAACATAGATGATTTCATTAGAAAAATGTAATTTGGCAGTACAGTGACCAACCTAAAAGAAAGCTGAAAGGACTCCATAAAATGTCAAAAACTCCTGGAACCTCCCAAATCAAGATAACCACTAACAAGCTTGCAAGAAACTTTATAGCCATCACTGATCTTATCTCATTATAGTTGTGGCCAATGCCAAGTGCCCCGTAGACCATCAGGGTGAAAAGGGTGTGCATTGGACAAATATAGTACAACATGTAATCATTGTTAAGAAGAATACAACAAAATATCACGAAAAAGTTAAGCCTCCACATCATCTGCATAAAAATAAAAATAAAGATGATATCATACTTTAATAATGTACTGTGTTCTGTGTACACATCACAAAATTTTAAAGATAATGGTACTGTAATGTGACCTGAGCAAATCGAGCAAGACTAAAATCTTTTCTGATGTAATAATATGAGAAATTGCCAAAACCAGTCATCCAGACATATGCAGCTATAAAAACACGGATTGCATTGTATATCTCTGTTGCAGCAAAGTAGTGATACATCAAGAAGAGCACCTGCAAGCAAGACAATAATGTGTCAATGAATGGAGAAAATACATCAAGTTGATAATTATCTGAATACAACAAAGCTTCTAGCCTAAGTACGAAGACAACATAGTTTTAGGATAAACTATATTAAACTTTAAAAAAGATACAGCCAGATATTTAAAACACTAAGGCACATACAGGTGACACATCAGCACCATAGAGAGAGAACTGGTTAGAAGAACTTCATCCATATAGCATTTTAATTAACAAAAGCACTAGTAAGAGACAGGAAGAGTTACCTGCATCCATCCTTTCCATTCCTCTGTTTGATGGCGATTCAGGTAAAGCAATGATTTCCCAGAAAAGGCTGACTTGTCATTGTGTTTCTTGAGAGAAGTCATTGAAGAAACTATGATCAGAAGAACATACAGGAAGAGGAAGAGATCGCGGTTATAGTTCTGTTCAGGAAACCAAAAGAAGGGAAGCTTGTTACACTCTGATCCAGACCAGCAAGTATAATGAATCATGTTTTAAGGCCTAAGAAGTTCTGTTGGGCAAGAAAATTTATAGTGTAACTGCATCCATGAATCAGAGAAATCTTAAGAAACCACAGCCTTATTTAACCAGAATACATCTCAGTTATACTTATTGTTAATTACAAAGACATAATTACATAAATATTTTAAAAAGGGACTGTCATAAGAAATAAAAGCTCACCTCTGAGGTAAAAATAACAACAACAACAACAACAACAATAATAATAATAATCATAAAGACGTTACACAAATTACATCACCCATTTCTTAATTTCAGAAAATATTTTCACAAAGCTTTTGAATTTACACTTTTAAGTGTTTCTGTAACATAGAAATATAGTGCAGGGTACTAGATGTCTTGTCAGATTAAGCATGATAATAATATCACTGAATTCATCAACGGCATGCCCTAACATGCGACCATTGTGTTTAGGCAGAACTTATAAGTTGAGGTTAGTTCTATAAAGTGATCTTCCCAGATGAAACCATGTATCATAAAGAAAATTTTAGCACCAAGAAAATAAAGCACCTTAGCAGAATCTGCAAACAAATTTGTGCGGTCGCAGAGGTAAAAATAGATCAGGATTCCCCCAAATTCAGACCTACACAGCATTGTACAATCAAATATAAATGAATGGTTGAGAAATTATAAAATATCCAGAATAAATTATACCCAGCTTACATTGCCCTTAGAGTTGTTCGATTTTCAAGCAAGAACGAATCCTCCATTGTTAGGAACCTAAAAGAAGCAAATAGGGCAAATGACAAAAAGCATATTTAAAAAAACAGGAGGGGAAAATAAATAATATTCCGGTATAACATTCCAGAAAATGCATGTTTATAGAAAATCACACTGACCTAATTATGTTTGTTTTTATAGATGAACTTGGTAACTTTGTGGATGCAGATTTTGACAGACCTCCTTCCAGCAAAACAGCTCGATCTTCTTCCTTGTTTTTTTCATTTTCCAGTTCAGCCAGATTACTGTCTGAATGGCTGCATCCAAAAGAAGACAACAAATATAAACATTAAAGGTGCAGACTAATCTGAATAGTAATTATTATTGTTATGAGGCTGTGTAAGGAAATATTTTCAGCCTAAATGTAGGAATTCCAATCATATATTGTGAAGGGCAAAATGGCATTTTCCTAAATATTATCTTAGATTGTGGCTGATAAAGTAATGCTTGACTATATGCAAGTCAGGAATTCCAATCATAGATTGTGCAGGGCAAAATGACATTTTCCTATATATTTATCTTAGATTGTGGCTGATAAAGTAATGCTTAACTATATGCAAGTCTTAAGTCCTTCCACTTTCATTGAATTTGATTTTATAAAAAAAAAAAAAGGATAAATATATTTGAAATTGTGTAGTAGAAGCAAATGCTTAATAATCACATTTGTGATTTTGGTTTAATAGAATATACTTGCTCTAGTTCTTAGTTTATTAGACTGTCATGTGGTTCAAAGTTCCATTCTGTTCCAAATCTTCAACAAGATTGTTCATAATGTAAGAAAAGGAAAACATACTTCAACCAGTATGCATAAACTTCCCCGTGTTTGAAAGCAACTTACACTTTAGAGAGGGATGCTGACTTCTTGTACTCTAACCACTCAGCATATGCCCATCCAATAATAACAGGGATAATTCCAAATACAAATGAAACCTGAAACATGATAAGCTAATGTTTGTGAGAAATTACCATAAGAAAGCAAATGACAAATATGACAGGCAAATTGAAAGTACAGAGATATAATTATATCATGCTGCAATGCTGCATAAGAATGATAAGATGCAAGATGTGTCTGAAAGTGCACAAACCTATAGAAACATCATGCAGCAAAAGAAAACATGCAGAAACAAGAGCTAAACTCCCTTTGTAATTCCATTATGAAAACTATTAGAGCCTAAAAAGTGCGTTCACAATTCTAGTTTTGAATCACAATACACTAACACTCTTCAACTTAAAAATCAAGAATACACAATAAACCAAGGATCATTACAATATGTTCAATTGCAAACAAACATACACATAATATTCGCGCTGACCATTTTTCCACATCATATTGATTCACTATATAGTGTATATACCTAACAAGTAATAGTTCATTCAGTTCCAAAAAATATGGCAATAGCATGAGCTGCCATGGCTTCTACTCAATCAAGAGGCAACACTACAAAAGTTTTCTTTCAACATGGTTACTAGCTCACAGCTGCCTAATAGCATCTCTCTCACACAGACACAATCGTATCCAATATCCATAAGTCCCTGTGCACGCTTCAACCACAAATTATCATACATTTGCTTACGCACTGTGTTATGAATTATGAACACTCGGGCGAATGCTCATTATACTCTCAGATCAAACACTCCTTACTCCATTCCGATTTACTTCCTTTTACCTTCAACTCCTAGCAGATTTCCAATCTGACTATAAACAATTATACATACATACTAACATACACAAGCATCAAAGCAGAATTACCCTGTAGAACAGGGAGCTATAGTACTGTACCTGTCCAGGTGTCACGGGCCCAGGAACCGGTGCCATTTTCGACTCCCGCGGGACCGGAACTGCGAAACTCCGCCGGAATCGGAATCAAATCAGTGCAGAATCCGAGCACACACAAGGCGCATTGGAATCCTCACCGATCCACAAACTGATTCGGCAGCGGCAATGCGTACGTATGTATGTATACACGATATGCGTATACGTATATATATGTATAACAATGCGAGAACGATAGTGTTAAATAAGAGCGATTGAGGAGATCTGAAGCAACAAAGAGAGAGGAATGGCGGATATGAAGGAGGTAGTGAGTCGGCGTCGTCGTTTGGTGGCGCTTCAGGAGAGGATTGTAAGCAGCAATTCTGAAGAGAAGTCTCTCTCAGAGATTCCGAAGCCAACCGCTGATGGTGGTGGTTGCAGGTTGGTTCCTTCTGGTCTTTGTTGCTCCATTGCTTTCATTTTCGTTAAGACTCATACTAACACGAAAATGGGAATTTTTAAATGCTTTTCTCTTTCAATTGGAAAATAATAACATAAACCGTATCATCACCGTCATCATTACTCTGTAATTATTTTTTATAATAATAATAATAATTATTATTATTCATTTATACTCCGCGTTCCGTGCATTTATGTGCAAAGTGCAACGTATTTGACTATTTGGTACTAAATTGTAGGAAGGAACGGGAAGATTTTTAGTACGAGTGATGGTACATTCTTATTTTGTTTCTTCTCTCAATATTTACTTTTCTGTTGGATAATATATACTCCCTCCATCCCATTTTATGTATCCAATTCGATTAATAATGAGACTTGACTAAAGTCATTTTTAATCCAATTTTTTATTAAACACAACAAATCAAATTTAAAAATAAATAAAGACTACTAAAAAGAAATAAACAAAGAAGAAAGAGTTGATTTGACCAATAAATAGTAAGTATGACCGATAAAATGATACGGAGGGAGTAATTAGTTTTCTTTTTTATTTGATTAAAAATAATATTAATTTTTCATTTTGAAAGCTAGTGACTCTATTACATTGTAGTATCTGTTCATCTATACTTTCTCAACCTACTCTATGACATACCTGCACAAAGAGTCAACACCGCCTCCACTAAGGCTTGATCTCATGACCTCCCATATATGAGAGTCACTACATGTCATCTGAGCATAAGGTGCTTGGCTCCTTTTGAATTTATAATTAAGTTTGAACTCCAAATTTACATTACCGTTCTTATTTTTATTTTTTTGATTAATGAGAGAAACAGGCAGCTACTACCCGATAGTGTGCACTAAGTAAGCTCCGTCTAAGTTGCACATAGTTGAACGGTTCAAACCAATAAGGTCAATATGTCGGTTCTGTTTAGAGTTGAACTTATAACTGTATAGTTACCAAATCAACAGTCTAACCAACTTGACTTGGGTTGCCCCTATCGCTCTTGTTCTAGAGACTAGTGAAGGATGTAAATCATGGGATGTGTCTAATCAAAAGACCCTCAAATGTTTATACACTAGTTATAAATTTATTTTCTAACGTACAGTTATTGATGTGGCAATAAAATTCTTTATATTTATTATTTTTTAAAAATGAATTTATTATTTGAAAATAAGGAGGGAAGTTTAGAAAGAGAATGTAGAATTACTCTTTGATTAATTTGTTTGTTTTTTTTTTTTAATTTTTAAAAGTGGGGTAGAGTTTACCAATTCATGGTATTTAGGGGTGAGCATTGATCCACCGATCCTCTCTAATTCGTCAAATATGTCATAACGTAACTGTTCTAATCTAATCCACGTCTACTTTAAGTGGATAAGATGTGAATTCACTTAATGAAAATCTGCTACTTGTGAATTGGATACATATGTAACTTCTTAAAATCTACTATATTCAATCCATTATAAGTGTGTGTGTGTTTATTTATTTATTTTAGTGACTCTATTTATTTATTTATATTATACTTTATAATATAGACTAAAGCCTAGTAGTTCATTGTTCATTGTCCAACGGCCGAGGCCAAATTTAAGGTTATAATTAATTTTAAATTTTCTACACTTAGTCTAGGTTTAAGTTTCTCTTAATTGTCATTCTCGACTTTTTGGCTTATTCACTTACTCCTCAAGTTTGATTTGTTATTGTTTACTACGTCAGAATCACAAATTTAATAACACACTACACTAAAGATAAATGAAGAATTAAAAATAAACGAAGATTTGCAAATTACATTTGTTTGCAATTTTAATTAATTATTATTTTTTTCTTCAAATTAGATATATTTTTTTTCCTTTGAACAAGATGTTTGGAAATTTGTGATTTTGATATTTTAATGCTTGAAATATTGTATACTAATTTATTTTATTTTTTAAACTCAAAATACGTTATTCACATTCAATTCAAATCCGTAATTAGAGGGTCAGATTCGATTGGATTTACACCCTAGTAAATGTGGATGTGAATGAGATTTTTCAAATTCATATTTAGCGGACTAGATGTACTCAAATTCGCTCTGATCCTCTCCACGCCCACCCCTAATGATAGAAAAGCTAATGAATAAGCTAATGAAGAAGGTTTTATTGAAACATCATATATGGTAAATATTATGATATAACATAAGAGGAAAATATATATCATTAATCTTTTAGTATTAGGAATTTTTTTTTTAAATTCGTATATTACACGGCTTAACATTTTGTATAAATTAATAGCTTGATTTAAATTTTAATTAGAGAAAAAAATTAAATACACCATCTAACTTTATGTAAGAAGTCGCCCTCAAACTTTTGAAAGTTGTAATTAGACACGGTAATATATTAATTTAGTGTATTAAACCCCAAGACCCAAAACCCTAGTTGTGACCTGCTATAGCAGGTCAGCGGAACTCCGACGACATTCCGGCAAAGAATTGACTAGCAGGTTATCCAATTACATGCAAAACTGTAATTGAGTCATTCAGCTCACAAATATCATTGCCATGAAATGTGAAATTCCTCTATCCCCACACCTCGACCCGATATGATATGAATGAGGTAAATCACTTTTGCTCAACGATCTATTAAGTGAAAAGATCAGTGCCTAATATATATATTAGTAAAGAACTCACTATATTGGTTGTAACTCTCACACCGCGACGCTTATCATGTGTTTTTGCTACCATCAAAAGTGAACTATTTGACCCAATCATGCAATCTAGATTGTTCAGGATTTAGGTACCCAATTATAATTTTATATTTTTATATGTAGTGCAAAGACGTTTAACCCTTAGTCATTATTTTAACTAGGAAAACCGGCCACTAAACCCACGTCTTCATCCAGATTACTTTGGATTCAGATCTTTGCCGGCTGTTTTCTCTACTCTCATTATTTTATTCGAAATGGTTTGTCCTGATATTAGAAAAAGATACACATAAGGACAGATCCATAATAATTTTAATAAACAGGTTTCATAAATTTGAACTTTATAAATATTATATTTGATTTTTTGAATTTTTACTGGTAAACAATTTTTTTTTAGTGATAGAAGAAAATCCATAATAACTATCTGAGCATTTACATTACGTCTGAATTCACCACTGGCTTGGTAAATAATTTTTTTATTTATTTTTTTTTCTAAATGTATTTTAAATATTCTCTCATGATTCCACCATTAACATGGTTTTTTATCATATAAGTCAAAAGTTTTTTATTCCCTATTTCCTGCTCTTCATTCCACCATTAAATATTCTCTCATTAACATTTTTTTTTAATTTACGAGTTTATAATTTTATATATTAAAGTCCATAATGGATCACTTTGCATTTTCCCAAGTAATTTTCTCCGCAATTGACGCGAGTGTGGAAAGCATGTTAGATAATTATTTGCACATAATGGTGTATTTGACATGATTTAATCATTGAGTAGGTTTAACTCCAACTGCAAACTTAAAACTTCAAAATTTTGGTCAAGCTTATAATAAGATAAATCATACACAATTTCATTATCTACATTTTTAATCACTTCTTATTTTGTTATAAAAATCATAAAAACTCCTTATTTTCATATTGGCTTTACACGTGACTCAACACCCGTCTTGATAATGTTAGACATGTCCTAATAGTTGTGTGTGTTAGAGAGACTTAATCACGTTATTTTTTTCTTGCTCGTCTTTTTCCACATATAAAAAATGCTATTCCCATTACCCTCGATCTTTTGTTCGCCAGTTGCTAATGAATTGGTTGATCTCAGCCTAAGTTAAAAATAAAATCTAATTAATCAAAAACGGAGTATGAATTGGTTGAACTCAGCCTAAGTTAAAAATAAAATCTAAATAATCAAATACAGATTGGTTAATCTCAGCCTAAGTTAAAAATAAAATCTAAATAACCTTTGCATGACTCTGATACCAAATTGAAGCATGTAGTCCATCTCAACTAAAAACCTAAGCTAGCAAATAGTTGAATTGCACATTAATGATTATATGCTCAGCAATTAGAAGGTAAATTTAAAATGTGACTAGTTTCGTTATATTGTATAAACTTTCCAATTCTCTATCTCATTGAATACATAATTCCTTTACAAAAACCTAACTAGGCAGATGATACTAACAGCTAACAAAACTATATCCACTCTGAATCAAAACAAATGACAGCACAGGATGATCTGTACCATCCTATTCTGAACTGCAGGATAATCTTCTGAAGAGCAGCACGCATCAGACTTAAACGAACAACAGATCGATCATGCACGAGAGCTCTCGTAGAAGAATTGAACGATCGTCAAATGGCTCTTTGTTGTCGCGATGGTAATGCCAAATCCGAGACCCTGCATGCCACGAGCTCTGTCTGTTTCATCGTCGTTGTTGCAGCTATGGCCCACGGATGTTGTGATCATTGACTACTTTCCATCAGATCGGCGAGAGTAATCTTCCCGGAATTGCCCGGGTCCAGTTTATCAAACTGTCTGCAGATCAGCAGGATGTCTTTCTCGGACACCTTCTCCATCTCCTTCAACTTGTAGATTACATATTCGGGTTTACTGTCAAGTATTACAGAACCAAGAAAAGCGATACCCAATGCATCATCACCTCGGCTTAATGATCATAATTGGAAAACAAATAAGAATAGCACATATAAATAGCTAATTGATTGGATTCAGTCTTTCAGTGTAGTTTGACTCATGTGCATTACAGCCTAATTCAGTGACCTTGGCCCAATCTTAGATTCTAGCACTAATCACCCGGACAAAGTAGGCCGTTATCACTAACTCCAAATCAATCTAATAACGGGCATGTTCCACATCTCTAAACAACATTGACATGTTCATAAATCATAACCGCTAACTTCTTTCTCCGTGTATAAATACTTCATCTTTGTACTAAAAACGGATTCCTAATTGATTAATACATACACATATAGGGTTCTCAGGCCACCCCCGACTGATAACTCTTATAATCTTTATACCAATTCCATCTTAGCTAAATCACTTGGAAGTTTATGCTAAGATTTCCAGGCTAGATAACACTAGTGAAAAACTAGCTAAAGATGTTTCCAAATGATCCCGCCATTATTCTCACCGTAACATTTAAACAATCTCACATGAATTTTTTTTAAATGCTATTGACTCTATTACAATGTAGTATCTGTTCATAATTCATACATACTTTCTCAACCTACTGAAGCACAAAGAGTCAATATCTGCCTACTGAAGCACTACTTTCTCAACCTACCCGAGACCTCTCATTTGAGGGGCCACAACTATGCCGCTCGACCACAAGGCCAAATATAATGGCTAGCATTGATCAAGCAGTATCTATTCACAGAGTACTAGGCTAGTAGAACAACCTAATAACATTAACAACAATTTAGAATATTTATAGGTACGAGGTTGTATACAAAAGGGAATTATGCCATTTTGTTTTTTGTTCTTTTGCAACTAATCAGTAAAACATAGTATTATCTAGGCTTCTACATGAACAAACAAGGCGTAAATCAAACAAGATCATAGGAACAAAAAGTCCTAACCTCACAAAGCCATTGTTATCAATGTCTGCAGCAAGAAACTGTGAAACAGTCATACTCTGATCGAGCACCCATTTCGCCATTCTCCGATGGCGTTTATCGACTCTCGCCTCAGCCAAGTAAAGAAAGGCTCGGGCAACCGCGAGCGTGGACACCAGCAACCAAACCGACGCGAAAACCCGACCAGGCAACGACTTGAATGCGCGGTCGCCATACCCAACGGTAGTAACAGACATAACCGACAGGTAGAATGAATCCAACCACCCGAGCCTCTCAACGAAATGCATAACACCAACACCTATCCCAATACACAGAACCACAACCCCGAGTGCTAACCCCACCTTCGTCCTAATCCTCATTCTCCCCTTCTTCACATCTATTATATAGGAACCAGGATCATGGGCACCTTTACACTTAAGAGTCTTTAACAGATAATTTTCTTGAAGGTCAAGCACATAACCCACCATCCCAGACAACAAAATATCAATGAACCCAAACCCCACAAGCACAAAAAGAATGGAAAACATCTTTGTAGCAGGGGTAGTAGGGGTTATGTCCCCATAGCCAATAGTGCACATTGTGACAATACAAAAGTAAATAGCATCCACCACAGGGTGGGTCTCAGAGGCAGTAAAATTTTCCCTAAAGAAAGTATATAAAGACACACCAAGAGCCAAGTAAATGATCAAAAGCACCACAGAATGCCTCACAATTGACTGGTTACCAAACTGGGGTTGCTGGGAAGGTGGAGACTTGTGCGTAACCTCATTGATTGTTGCCATGGCAGGGGCGGTCCTGCAACGGTGAAGATTGGATTTTGCCCGGGCTTTGCTCTCGGGTTTCGCCGGCCAAGGAAGGTGGTCATTGTTGGATCTTTGGTCGGAAGATGAACAAGAAGGAGAAGGAGAGGCGGCATTATTATTGAAGTTGAAAGCATCGAGATTGGTGGTTGAGGCGAAACGAGGAGACCCCCCAAAGATTAGCTTTTCCTTGAATTCTGAAGGGGTCATTGGGTGAGGAGGGGTGGCGGGGATGGTGAGTTCAGCGTGCTCCGGTAATGGCCAGAGCGATAGCGGCTGCTGCGGCGGCGGCGCGCGCACTCTCCTCAGGGAGGAGAATTGGAGGAGAGGCTCCTTCTCCATTTTGGGTCGCCGGACAAGAAAAAAAACCGGCGATCTTACCAATGCAGACACAATCTCCGGTTCAAAAATATAAACGGAATTTAGATTAGTTTAGCCAAAGATTCCCCTAATGTATATTAAAAAATAATAATAATAAAAGGGGATTTGGTATGAAGAGTGTGCCGGTGAGGCGAACGGCCGGGGGAGACAAAAAGCAGCGGCGAGCGATGAAAGGAGAAAGAGTTTAGGACATGTTTGTTGAGAAGGGAAGAGAAAAGGCAATTTGTCCGTCTTTCTCGACTCACAACCGGAAGTACGAAACTGGAGTTTTCAATTTTGAAGGGTCAAACGTAATACTTTGGCGAAATTTGATCTGTTTTCAGGAACTGAGATAAATATGGCATTTTACAAGGAAAAATGCGTTTGCAGACACATATTCCTCTAATTTTTTTCATTATTTCATCGTGTATGACACGAAGAAGATGTCTGATTGCCTACAACCAAACGTGTCCTTGACGGCGGCGGTTCTCTCCTTTTTCGATTTGGTCATCGGTTAGATGCGGCTACGTGAACATTGCTGCATAGGTGGACGCGCACCGTCAAATGCCACCAATCACGCTCTTCATGGTGCGTGCACCGTCAAATCCAGGTGTGAATGTGTGTGATTCTTGTACCCTCGTAAACATTAACGGGCAAGTTTGGTTCAGAATAAATTTGGAAGGAATAAAGATGTTATTTGATAAAGAATGGAATAGGTAAGAAATAAAATAAGAATTATATTCTATTGTTTGGTTATTAAACTTTATGAATTGTATTCCAATATTTGATTGGTTAAAGGAATATAAATGGAATATATGTTTAAAAGATAGAAATGTCTGTGTACAAAATTTATTATTATTATTATTATTATTATTATTATTATTATTATTATTATTATTATTATTATCTACTTGAATTATTTGTAAGCAAACCCTAACTACATCAGAAGCTTTCACCACGTTAATCAGCAAATAATAATCCAATAATGATCCACTCAGAGGAAGCTTCCGCCATTAATAACCTCCACGGATGATGGAATTCGACACATATGGTCACGAAGCTCCAGGCTCCCCGAACCCATCGCCACCCTCTGCTTCTTTGTTCACCACTTCCCCTCGCCGAAAATCAGCCGGTTGTGCTTCGCCATCACCAGAGTTCGATGGTTATCGATCAATGATCGGACCAGAAAAATATGATCATTGAGAGGAGGCGACCCCGATTCTTCCCTCTCTTGCTTCCTTAGTCAGCGATGACAGCTATGGTGGAGCTCCAGTGACGGCGGATCGAGACAACAACAAGTAGAACGGCGAAGCTCGAAGGCGGTTGACCTTTTTTTCAGCGTGAACTTGGACGACGAGTAGTAGACTGGCGAGCAGCAGCAGATCCGACGGATGACAACAGATCTGGACCAAGTCCTCTTCTCTGACGAACTGTTGCGGCGGCCTACAGCGTGGGTAGTGGCGGCAGATGGCGTCATGGCAGTTTCGGGCGGTGGTAGCTCGAGTAAGAGAAACATTGCAAGGAAAAATGAGATGAGGGTAAAATAGGAAACATAAATTTTAAGCTATTTCTGAAAACTCAAAAATAGCCTAATACCTAAGGAGGGGGAAGGGGGTGGGGTCAGGAATCTCTATTAGGTCATTCCTAGAAACAAAGTTCATGGGAATAAAAGTTTCTATCAAACACCATAATAGGCCTATTCCATTCCAGACATATTCTGCAAACCAAATGTACCATAAGTTATATTAAAAGTTGGTTTATTAATTATCTTAATTTTTTTTATATAAAGTTTGAATCTCAAAGTACATTTATTATTAAAATAATAATTTTTAATTCCTCAATTATTCCTGGTTAGTTATTTTAGTATATAATTTTTTATTAATATAACACTCTTCTTAATTTTTTTTAAAACTATATTTCTTTGTTCGTTTTTTCCTTGAAGAAAATGGAAAATCATGTATTGCCAATCAACAACAATGGCGACGATCATGTTAGAAACAACAATGGTGGGAGCGACAACAATGTTACACATTTCCAAGCACCGGTGAACGTGGTTATTGGCCAAACTTAAGGTGCATAGTTTATGTGCTTAAGGTGTGTGAGTTCTTTAGTGGAGAACTTAAGGTGCATTTTTTATTGAAACTTAAGGTGCATTTTTTATTGAAACTTAAGGTGCATCGATCTAAAGTTTTAGGTGCGTTGTTTTTTTAAGGTGCGTGATTTTCCTTAAGAAAGTGTGTCAATTGTTGAAACTTAAAGTGCGTCATTTTAAAATTTTAGGTGTGTGATTTGTGTTCTTAAGATGCTTTGTTTGTGTACTTAAGGTGCGCCATTTTAATGCTTAAGGTTATGTACGTCAATTCTACACTTAAGGTGCGTCCTTTTGTGTTATCCGCACGGAAAGTAATCTTCACACACACGCACGCACGCACGCACGCACGCACGCACGCACGCACGCACGCACGCACGCACACACACACACACACACACACACACACACACACACACACACACACACACACACATATATATATATATATATATATATATATATATATATATATATATATATATATATATATATATATATATATATATATATATATATATATTTAGGATCATATGAGAACACTTGCTTAGGTGAAAACGTGAGAACAAATCATGTGCATCCATATAATATTTTTTAATGGTCTAGATTAGATTAAGTGTGTGCGGACGCGATTAAGTGCGTTTGTACACATTTAATTCGCGTTCGCACACACTTAATCTAATCTAGACAATTAGATAGATGCACACGATTTATTCTTACGTTCTCACCTAAGCAAGTGTTCTCATTGGAACCCTACTATATATATATGGATGAGTTCTGGTGCAGAGATAACTTCCCGTGCAGTTAACACAAAACAACGCACCTTAAACATTAAAATGATGCACCTTAAGAACACAAGCCACACACCTAAAGTTTTAATATTATTTAAGTTAAATTATTTAAATAAAATAATATCTTTTTTTTTTATTTTTGAAGTTAGGCCCGCGAGCCTTATTGTTTTGTGAGCCGGCCCGCGGGGTGGGGCGAGCCGACCCGCATTGACACCCATCACACATATCCATTATGACTATTGATGTAAGAGGTAGTGTGGAGCTTGCCTTGCCGTTGAAGTAAGAACCAATGCAAAGCTTGCCGTAGATGTAAGAAGCAGCGCAAAGCTTGCTATATAAGTGTAACATAAGAGACAACTGTATGAAACATACATTGTAACATAAGAGACCGTATGAAATGTACCTTGTAACACAAGAGGTAGAGTTGAGTGTACCGTATATTGTTGTAACTCCGTTTACAACAATATAATACTCCATACTAGAAAGACTTTTTTACTAGCTAAAGATATCGTGGAACGAGTTTGACCAAAAGAATGTTGGTAAAAATTAAATTTAGAGTTAGGGTCCGTTTGGAAAGCAGGAAAATGACTTCTGAAAAGTGTTTTCTGGAAAATGAGTCATTTTCCGGAAAATATTTTCCTTTCCAGTGTTTGGTTGCATTCTGGAAAACTGTTTTTGTGTGTTTGGTTCATTTTCTGGAAAATGGGTAGAATTGTATAATTAAATATTTTAATTATTTTATTTAGAATATTACAACATGTATAATAATATATATAATAATATAATAATAATTTTAAATATAATAAAAAAATAACTAATAATATATCAAAAATATTATGGTGATGGTGGTGTAGTGGTAGTGGTGTTATTTGTTATATAATAATAATAATAATAATAATAATAATAATAATAATAATAATAATAATAATAATAATAATAATAATAATAATAATAATAATAATAATAATAATAATAATAATAATAATAATAATAATAATAATAATAATAATAATAATAACTGGTGGTGGTATGACGGTGGTGGCAGTGGTGGTGGTGGTTTCAGTGGTATGGTGGTGGTGGCGGCGACGACGGTGGTTGCGGTGGTGTGGTGGTGGTGGTGGCGGCGACGGTGGTTGCGGTAGTATGGTGGTGGTGGCAGTGGCGGCGGCGGCGGTGGCGGTGGTGGTAGTGGTGGTGGTGGCGGCGACGGTGGTATGGTGGTGGTGCCGACGGCGGCGGTGGTAGTAGTGGTGGTGGTGTGATGGTGGTGGTGTGGTGGCGATGATGTGGTGGTGGTGGTGTGGTGGCGGTGGTATGGTGGTGGTGGTGGCGGCGACGATGGTTGCGGTGGTATGGTGGTGGTGGTGGTGTGGTGGCGGTGGTTGCAGTGGTATGGTGGTGGTGGTGGCGATGGTTGCAGTGGTATGGTGGTGGTGGTGGCGGCGGCGATGGTGGTTGCGATGGTATGGTGGTGGTGGCGGTGGCGGTGGTGTGATGCTGGTGGTGGTGGCAGCAACGGTGGTATGGTGGTGGTGGCGACGACGGTGGTGGTGGCGGTGACGGTGGTATGGTGGTGGTGGTGGCGGCGGCGGCGATGGTGGTTGTGGTGGTGGTGTGATGTTGGTGGTGTGATGGCGGTGGTATGGTGGTGGCGGTGGCGACGACGATGGTTGTGGTGGTATGGTGGTGGTGGTGGTAGCAGCGGTGGTGGTGGTAGTATGGTGTTGATGATGTTGGTGGTGGTAGTGGTTGCGGTGGTATGGTGTTGGTGGTGGTAGTGGTTGCGGTGGTATGGTGTTGGTGGTGGTAGTGGTGGTGGTGTGATGGTGGTGGTGTGGTGGCGGTGGTTGCGGTGGTATAGTGGTGGTGATGGTGGTAGTGAGGTGGTGGTGGTATGGTGTTGATGATGTTGGTGGTGGAGTGATGTTGGTGTAAAAGTTGGAAAATGACTTCCCTCAAAAAAAATGGGAAGTCATTTTCCTCCAAAACAAGCCTATTTTCCAAAGTCAACGGAAAATGATTTCCGTTGACTTGATTTTCCAGGCACATCCAAACACTGAAAACTTGGAAAATGATTTCCAGAACTCATTTTCCAGGTTTCCAAACACACCCTTAATTATCAAAATGGTCCCTTGACTATAGCGAATTACCAATTTAGTCCTTGACTATTTTTTTAACCAATTAAGTCCCTCAAATTTAAAAATCTTAACCAATTTGGTCATCCGTTTGTTTGACCGTTAGTCAATCGTTAACTTGGGACCAAATTGGTAATTTCGCTATAGTCAAGGGACCATTTTGGTAATTAACTTTAGGGTAGGCAATTCGGTTTAGTTTTCTCGAACTGAACCGTACCAAATCGAACCGAACTAATTTGGTTTGATAATATACAGAACAACCGAACAGTTCGATAAAAAACCGATCAGAATTGTTCGGTAAAAAATTGAACTGAACCGAATACCGTTTGATTTTTTAAAAATAAAATAATAATAATAAAATAAATAAATAAAAAGTAAATCCAAGTCCTTTGCTGTTTGCTCTGCCGTTCAGCTCATATTATCACGGGTATCTCTCGTGAATGTTTTATTTGATTTCTTTATGGTTTATTATCAAAAGTTCTATATTATGTGTTATGGTGTTTACATAGTCCATATCCAAAGTCTAATATATAACAAAATAGCAATCCAAAGTTCAAACGGTATTCGGTTCAGTTCGGGTTTTTACCGAACAAATTCAGTTCGGTTCGAGTTTTTACCGAACCGTTCGGTATACAAGAATCTATTACCGTTCGGTTGTTCGGTATATTACCGAATCTAACTAGTTTGGTACGGGTCGGTTCGAGAAAACTAAACTGAATTGCCCACCCTTAAAGTTAATTATCAAAATGGTCCCTTGATTAGAGCAAATTACCAATTTGGTCTCAAGTTAACGGTTAACTAACAGTCGAACAAACGGAGGACCAAATTGATTAAGATTTTTAAAGTTGAAAGACTTAATTGATCAAAAAAATAGTCAAGGACTAAATTAATAATTTCACTATAGTCAAGGACCCATTTTGATAATTAACTCTTAAATTTATAAAATTCTGATACAAAAATCATACTTCACTCACTCGCTACTCCTTTACGCCTAAGTGCATAGTGCATTTACGGAATTACGGATTGTACTATGACTTAAAGTAGGTTTAAGCACTAGTGGAGCAGTAATGGTGTTTTCACCAATAATTAATGCATCACTTGTTAGTTAACAGTGAGATTCAGTGAGCGGCGATAGATGAGTGAAGAAATTAATAAAAGATTCCAAAGGAGCTCTCAAAGGCAGAAGAAGAAGCTTTGTGCTGGAAACTGATAGTAAAGGGGAAGTGAACCGCAAAAAAAATCTTGTTGGTGTAATGGGTTTCACCATGGGTCTGAACATGCTTCTCTTGATGGCTATGGTGGCCACCAACATCCTCTCCCTCTACCACCTCTCCTCCAACATCCAGTCCAATTCCCCCGCCCCCAATGTCGCCGCCGTCCCCGACCACCTCATCCGCCAGCTCCAAACCATACGCGCCACCATCAACCACCTCACCAGCCTCCAGTCGCCGGCTCCTCCGTCTTCCAGGAAACCTTCCGTTTCTATCCCTTCCGATCTTCTTCTCTACGCCCATATGTCTCCCATAGCTTCTGCTTGTAAGGACTACCCGGATTTGCTCCATCAGTACATGAATTACACTCCTTTTGCCCTCTGCCCTGCGGATTCCGCGATTGCCGAGTCTCTGATTCTCCGCGGCTGCCACCCTCTCCCGCGGCGGCGGTGCTTCTCCCGGACCGCCACCGCCGCGCCGACCTCCTCGCTCCCGAAGAATCCGTTTTCCAGTCTGCCGGAAAACGCGGTGATTTGGAAGAATTACAACTGCAAGAGCTTCAGCTGCCTGGCCAAGTCCAACCCTGCAATGGGGTTTGATATGAAAATTGAGCAATCCAGATTCTTCTCATCCAAATCGGATCTAGATCTGCCAATTCCACAGCTACTGCAAATTGCCAAATCAGCCAAGAGTGTGATTAGGTTAGGGCTGGACATAGGCGGTGGGACAGGCACCTTCGCGGCACAAATGAAACTGCAAAATATGACAGTGGTGACCACCACCATGAACCTCGGGGCGCCCTACAACGAGGCCGTGGCACTGAGGGGGTTGGTGCCACTACATGTGCCATTGCAGCAGAGGCTGCCAGTGTTTGATGGAGTGATGGATCTTGTGAGGTGTGGGCATGCTGTGAATAGGTGGATTCCTGCAACTATGATGGAGTTCTTGTTCTTTGATGTGGATAGAGTGCTGAGAGGTGGTGGGTACTTTTGGCTGGACCATTTCTTCAGCAAAAAAGTGGATTTGGAAAAGGTCTTTCAGCCATTGATTTGGAAGCTGGGGTACAAGAAGGTGAAGTGGGCTGTGGCAGACAAGACTGATACTTCTGGGGTGAAGAATCAGGAGGTTTATTTGACAGCCCTTCTGCAGAAGCCTGTATCCAGATGAGACCTCAGAGGAGGTAATCTTGAGGTTCTTATTACTATGTTTCCTTATTTATAGAACAGTTGATCAAAACTAAGAATTCAACCAGTAAACAAGAGCATAGGATTAAGAATGTCTGGTTCTTGATGTTGATGTCCAGAAATAGCAAAAGAAGTTGAACTTGTAGATTAACTAATCCAGAGACTTTCTAGTTTCTATCCCTCAATGGCCTGTCAATTCTGTTTGCATTATCTTCTGATAGCTTCAGGTTATCAGTTATCTACCTTCACCAGTAGAAGTTGTATAAACAATAATATACCTTACCATATAAAGAACCAGACATGTTTGTTCAGTTTGTTCTATAGCAATAGCTTCTTCTTCTTCTAATCTGGTAAACTATCTTGTCTCCCTATATGGTAAGTGGTATATTCCCAGTGGGAAGATATTGACATTCCATATATATGTACTCCATACTAAGTTATACCTTGACAACTGCATGTGTTATATATGTAAACCCCATAAAGTCATGATGGCTAAGATTAACTGACGACGATGATAATGATGGACATGAAACCATCTATTTAAGTCCTACTTGGACAACCAAAATCGGGGAATGATTAAGATATAAGAACAGTGTTTATTACAAATCTGATAACATCTTCACTAGCTGTTAAGGCTGAATCAATGTTTTGATGCATACTAAAGTTCTTATTGGCTGTTTTGCAGGTGATATCACTAGATCTTTTGGGTTCTTGAATGACAAACTCTCTCAGCAAATGTTTATATCCAATCTACAATGCCAAGCCTTTTCCCTTCAAAATCTGAAGAATGCAAATTACTTGGCATTGGAGCTTGGAATTTTTGCATTAGCAGTTGCAGTTGACAGAAAGGCATCAGATTGGGAAATGGTGGTGGAGATTACAATGATATTATTGGATTGAATAGGCATCCATTTTATTTTTTCTTTTGAAGGTTTTAGTGAGAGGAGGGGTGTTAGATGTTCTTTACATGAACTTGTACTATTATGGCACTTCAACCTCAAATCTATATGTATTGAACTTCTAAGTTCTAACAATGGCTTGAGCCTACTAACTACAGAAGCAATGTGCATGAGGAACCAGAAAACTCAAACTTTCAGAGTGAAAACATGGAATAAATGTATCATGTTATCAAAATTGCAGTGTGTGATTACAGAACAAGCTTTATGTTAAAACTTAAAACCACCCACAAAATTTACCTTAAAACCAGAAAAGAAACAAGATTAAGGTTTAACTGACAGACTTAAGATTCACATCCACATATGTTGCTTTACAATGGAAGAAACAACTTATTCATTGGTTTCAAACCTCAGTTGGAAGATTAAGAGCTGGGTACTGTAGGTTTAGCAACTTCCCTCCTCAGAAGCTCTTTAACATTGAGCCTATCAATCTTGACAGCAAGTATGAAATCATTTTCTGTAAGTCCACCTGCAGGAATTCAGATCATACCATAAATATACTATGCAAGCACTCCAGAAAACCAGTTTGGGAAAATGACAACATGGTGTTTATTTTTGGGACAGAATAGGAGTATTCAGTACAGACGTACATATATTGGAAGATGATAGTCAATGAGAAATATAAATTAATCAAAACTGCTGATCTGAGTAAATCCTTACCCACGGCATGTGTCCATATATCAATTTTCACATTGTTCCATCCGACAAGATGGAGATCTGGATGATGACCTGCATCCCAGAACAAGAAATCACATTTACTATGGAGGTTAAAGTCATCTTCTAGCAAAAGCAATCTATTTGTGGAAGTTTTCACTGAAAGAGAAAGAAGGTAAGTGGTAAAGGGGAAAACAAATTTGTCTTTCAGTTTTTAACTCAATTGGTATAAACCACACAATGCAGATAGCATTTATGGTAACATTCAAAAATCACTGATTAATGATAAAACATAGGCAATTTATAAGTACTACAAGTGCCAGAAGCAAAACTGCTGATAACATCATGGAAGTAATCCTTCATTAGAAGTTATGGTTCCAGATCAAGATTTAAAGTCTTCGAAGATATGCATATCTAGAAGCCTTTAAAACTCACCAAAAAAAAATATCTAGAAGCCTTTAAATAGATTAAACCCTCATGAACTAAGGTGAAATTGAACAAGGGTTTGCTACAAGAGAACTAGCTTCCCATTAGACCTCATCAAAATTATACTTCAAAGCCATCACATGTATAGGCAGTAGACATGTTTGACAACAATTGAAAGTATTCACAGAAGCAGATTACCATCAAATGGAAGAACACACATATATGAATGGATAAAGACATAAATCCCCAAGTGAAGATATCTGAAGATTCTACACAATTAAATCGTAGGTAGATTATGAAACACCTTCTGTCTCTGCAAGACTAGCAACCAGTTCAAAGAAGTTGAGTCCTTTAATGAAAGTTTTGACTTTCCAAGACCTGTGCAACTTCAGTATTCCACCCTCATTGACCAAACTCCATTCAGGTACCTAAACATGGAAATGAATAAAATTATGTAACAAGGAAGATTGTATAGAGAGTATATGCCTTGGAAGGAAGAGAAGAGGACAGTGGGTAAGAAGAAAGGTGGAACAGCTTCTGACATTCAAACTGAAGGGTGGTTAACAAAGCTCAATTGACTATGACGATAGAAAAAGGTAAAAGGCAGATTAGGGTTTCACAAATGAGTCACCATAAGGTATCAAGAGTTATGAGTTTTCCAGTTTGGGTGCCTTGTCGTGGAACTTGAGATGTTTGTCAAGATTGTACTTTTAAGCTCTACAATTTAGTAGCAGAAAACAGAGAGTAGGCATAAGACAGTAATGGGCAGTCAAACCTGTGACATCAATGTATTTGCAGCTTCTTCAGTCATAGGCCTCAAGTCCTTTGTGTTGCATGGCACACATTTCTTGATTGACAAATCTGACATATCAACCAAACAATTGAAAAACCACCCTTTTAGTACCCCATTCTACAGCCACCAACTTAAAAAAAGGAAAAATTAGAAACAAAAACAAACACAAATTAAAGGAAAGAATCAAAGAGAAAACAAAAACATGATTCCAGAGTGAGAAGGATCGTGCAAACCCAGAAAAATGTAGGAATATAACTAACCGAGAAATCATGGTATGCCCTTAAGAATAAGAAAATCTGAAGATTATTATGAAGGTTTGGTTGCTAATTTTTAACTTCTAAGTTAAGAAATCTTTCGAGCACCAAACAACTAAGACCCTGAAGAGTAAAAATTACTCTGAAGCAAGAGAATAAAGAGAGAAGAGTGGCAATTATGATTTTTTGTTACACATAACCAAAAAAGAATGTCTCCCTACAACACCTCCCCAATGAAAACCCCTTTCTCCCACTGCCTGAAAGCACAATGAACACCCCCCCTCCCACAAAATAGAGAGGAAAAAGAAAGAAGAAAAATGGCTTTGCTTTCTGGAAGGGAAACACGGCAGAAGCAACCTTTCACGGGATTAAATTTTTGTTGCACTTGACCACACATTTAATTTGAATCCCCAATAAATCAAAAAATGACACTCAAAAAGTTCCTACTCCCAAAAAAAAAAAAAAAAAAAAAAAAAAGAAGAAGAGGAAATCACACTTAACAAGAATGTCTAAACATGCTAGTTAATGCAATGACGCACCTTCAGCGGTACAAAAAGCCCTAATTCCATTATAGATGTTTCTATTTGATGTCACTCCAACATGAACCTGGAGTATTCCAGCTACAGAAATACTTGAGCTGTAGGTGAATGCAAAACATAGAAATGATACAATTATTTTTAAATGCAGAAGAGAAGTAGATTCCAGCATTCCTGTAATCTGATTGTGATAGAAATTATGCACAAGAAACACATAATTGTATTACAAATTTAAAATTACATGTAAAATTATAAATTACACCTTATACAATACTCAGGAGACAATTACACTGCATATATACACATATCCCTAACTAAAAATGTCCTGTCAAAGAAGAAATGATAATTCCAGAAAGAAATAGAAAAATACCGTCCATGAGCTTTGCTGAAGCCATGAGAAGATGCTTTCAGTGGAACCTGCGAAAATTCAACAGAACTCTAGTCCAACACAGCCAAATATATACACACACATAAGCATACATATACAGAGAGATAGAGAGAGAGTTACCTGAGCGTTTGAGAGAGAGGATAGACGAGAATGAAGTATTCGAATCATCGACATCGGCCACAAAGGTTGTGGAAAAGTTGGTTACGCTTCAGGAAAAAAAAAAAAAAAAAAAAAATGGCGCCGGAAAAATGACGGCGAATGTGATGGACTGGTGACGATGCAGCTTCGGCCCAATATATAATTGGGCCTAGATCTGGCCCATCTATATAATGTTGATTTAAATTATAATTATAATATTATAATTATAATTATAATATAATAATTATAATAGTTACACCATACTTACAGGTACTCTCTCTCTTCCAGAAATTCTCTCTCTCTCAGTTGTCCGGAGGTGCGGAGATCTTTCCGTCAAGACTCACTAGCTTCCTCACAATGGTCAGCTCTCTCTCTCTCTCTCTCTCTCTCTCTCTCTCTCTCTCTCTACGTTTGTATGTATTCTGTAGGTAATATAATGAATTTTAAGTTTCATTTACATATTTATAAAATATATTGCGAAATTTGTACAGTTTGATTTTGATAATTACTATACACATTTTCAGAATTTCGCGGAATTATTGGAATTCCTTTTGATTTACTTGAACTTGATATCCTTCATGAAAATTATCAAAAACTGGAAATGAAAAAGTATCAGTGATATTTTTATCAGATCTAAAACCCTGCTGTCAAAAATGCGAGAAGGTAAAGTAGAAAAAAACAGTGATAACTGATAAAAGGATATGTGAAAAGGGAAAAGTTGGAAAACAGTTGTGCTGGATGAATTAATGACTTGGGAGAACGCATTCGTGTGTGTAGGACTATTGCCCTTCGGTTAAGAATGTTTTACTTCTGGATTCGGAAGGAAAGCGTGTTGCTGTCAAGTACTATACAGACGACTGGCCTACGAATGCAGCAAAGGAAGCTTATGAGAAGGCCCTATTTGCCAAGACTCAGAAGACTAATGCTAGGACAGAAGGTTAGGTCGTGCTTTCTCTGTACATTTGAGGCTTTTTGGATTTGGTTTTGTTCAGTGAATTTTAGTGGTTTTGCCATTATGAATCTTCTTGTCTTTCATGATTGTTGATGCTATTTTACACGGTTTTAAGTGGTTTGTGGGACTTTTGTTTTGTAACCAATTAAAGAGTTTCTAGTATTGAACTCTTCAATAGTTTTCAGGCGTATCACATTGAAAATAAGAACTTGTTGCACTTAAGCATATCTCCAGCCATAGTTGACATTCTGCTGTGTTGCCTCTTGAACGGTAGACCGTTAGCCATTTTTGTCCCATACTTGACTCAGAACCACAAATGGTGTGTTGGTGTGTAATTGAATGTGATATATAATGAATATCTTGTACCCATCAATCCAGGTTTATATTAGGCAGAGAGTCTGATTGACTAACAACTTCTAGTTATTCAGAGTGAAGAATTCTTTATTGGGACCTTAGATTTATGGTATACGACTTAGACAGTCTTGAAGGGGTTAGTGCTTCTGCTTGCACTCTTATCCTTTACCTAAAACTCAAACTTTTTTATGCATATGAGCTCACAATCATGAATAATGGCTAGATTTTGAGGGTATTTAACTGCTTTATTATATTCTATACCTCATCTCCTATAGTATATGGCCCTTCCCCAAGGGTGAGATGGAAACGGGGATTCTGCTTTGCTCTGTTGAATCTAACTCCTTGTCTTTGTCTGCAGCGGAAATAACGATGTTTGAGAATAACATTATTGTTTACAAGGTTGTCCAAGATCTTCATTTCTTTGTTACGGGAAGTGAAGAAGAAAACGAGCTTATTCTATCCACAGTGCTCCAAGCGTTCTTTGATGCAGTTGGTATTCTACTTAGGTAAGTTGCAAGAGCAAGCTTAACCATCTTATACTGGGTTTTTAAAAGCAATTATGAACTCATTATTGCAAATGCTCTCTCAGGGGAATTGTAGAAAAGAGCGAGGCACTTGATAATTTGGATCTTATTCTTCTGTGTCTGGATGAAATAGTTGATGGCGGGTAAGATTATTTTACCCCATCTTACCCCAAAAAACGGACGTGTGTAGATAAACTATATCTGGATTTTTAGGCATATTAGTAAAAGTTTATAAAGACCGAGTTAGTTAAAAACTTAACAAAGCTCTACGTGTTTGCGTAAATGTTATGCAGAATTGTTCTTGAGACGGATGCAAATGTTATTGCTGGTAAAGTTGCCAGTAATAGCTTGGATGCTGCAGCACCTTTGACCGAGCAGGTAATTTTTGGCTCTCTGTTTATCCTCACTACTTCAAGATGCTCAAGCCTATTACATCGTCGAACAATATCTTGTGAACTTAACCGTATCTCTTCGATTCATTCTTTTCTACAGACCATTAGTCAGGCATTTGCTACTGCTCGCGAACATCTTACCAGATCTCTTCTGAAATGATGTGTTGAAATAACCATAGGGAATGAACGAAGGATCACCATATATAGTAAATGCTGATAGGTGGTGCTCATCTATTTCATGTGAGGATAGCAACTTGTATTGTGAATATATATTAATCCTTTGTCCAACTTACCTATAATCTATGGATTTTTGCACCCATTTATTGAGGATTTTTATGACATTAAGTTTACTGTATTATGTAGATGACCAAACTCCCTTTGGTATATGCTCCATTTTGGGTAAAATTGTTTGTTTCATTGCACTGTTTATATGCTTTGTTCATCTTTCCCTACCTTTAGCTGTACGAGGGGACATTCCCTCTCCCTCCTATATTATCCCAATCCCCAAATTAGTCATTCAAATAACTACACAAACAAAAGGGAGGAGTACAAGTTTAGGTTAGTTAACTTAGGAGTGTAATTGAATCGAGCTGAGGGATTAGCCAATGCTCGAAGCTTAATTTGAGGTCTAAATTTTTGTCATGATATTTGTGAATTCAAGCTATTGGAGCTTGGTTTGAATGTGTTTAATAACAATTCTTTTACACAAATTATATTAATATTTAATAAGCATTTCACAATTAAATATTATTACAAAAAATCAATATTGCATCTTGATTCTGACCATTATATATATATAATAATACAGAGTATACAAATAATATTAGCTACATTTATAATATATGTATAAAAAACTTGATTGAGCACGTTGGCTACTTAGACTGACTACTAAGATGCTCAAATTTGGTAAGATTCGTTGTTCAAACTACTCGAACTCAACTCAATTGGACAACAATCAAATCGAATTCAAATATTCATCGAATCAAATGCACATGAATAGCTTGACACTTACCCCATAAGCTAAGTGATGAGAACAAAATCTGCTCTTTGTGCAAACCTATCAGCAGCTGTTGGGGGCAAGTTATGTCGAGAAAGAGGTTGACGAACCTGAGCATGAGTTTCAGCCTCGTGTTGAAACATCTTCACTAGCTCTTGCAATTCCAACTTCCTGACTTCAACCTGCTCTTCCCTGAAGGGCTTTCTCAACCCCAGATATATCGACCCGACAATAATCAGCAAAATGCCGAGAAAAACAAGGATTCCTGTAAACAGACCGAATGCATATGGCGTATTCTCAGCGCCTGGGATTCCATCCACATTGATTCCAAAAAGCCCTGTTATGATTGTTAGAACAAGGCCACATCCACCGAAGACTGCCAAATTATGGGTAACTGTAAGGCTTCTATCCTGGCAAATAGCACAAGTTAGATGCACCACGCATTAGAAGTAAATCATTGATATTTATAGTTCCATTGGATATATCATAACAGAGAACATCATTAAGCATATGAAGACAACAAGTCCTCCCTCCTACACAAGCACAATTGCACAAACATGTATTATTCATTTACTAAAAAGCACATCTGCGGTCTGCCTTGTGCTCACACAAAAACAATCCTTTCTCCCCCCTTAACATATCACAAAAAAAAAAAAAAGTAAAAAAAAAAAATCACGAATATGACAGAGTGGAACAAATTCAAAAAGTGGATGCCTACCACAATTTAGTGACTATAAATCTATAATAGAAGATTAAGGGAATGTGCCTTGTAATTTGGCTATGCATGATAATGCCAACCAAACATGGAAATATGGACATATATTGTGTTGAAACTGTAGTGTTAATGTGTTATCATCCCAAACAATATAGAAATATACTTGTATGCACTTGCATTTGTAAACGAACCTGCAACCATGCACGAACATTGCTCTGCATGACATCCTGAATAGTAAATAAGCGCCCGCGGACTGCTTCTTGCTCCTCGATCATCTCCCTTGTACTCTTTTTTATTCCTTCCAGCAGACTTCTTGTTGCACTCCCCCTCAAATGTTGGAGAAGCTCAAAAACAATCTCCTCCCTTGCATGCAGCGACCACTTAACTCTGATAACCTGAAATTCATGTAGTCAGTAGGAGATAAATTATTTACTTTTTGCACGTACTGAAATTTAAAATGCATGGCTGTCACAAGCCATAGTCCAAAATATAATTCAGTTATATAATATATTAATGAACAGTGCAACTTAGTTACATAACTGAGAATGTGCAATTTGACTGCACTGACCTCTTTCGATATTTTACATCTGGTAAATTGCATATTCAATTATTCACACTGATACCATTACCAATGACACAAATGGTTAAAATTTCTTGCTGCCTAATATTGCAGTTCTGACTTGAATTTGATAACTGAGAATGTGCAATTTGACTGCACTTTATATACCTCTTTCAATATTTTACATCTGGTAAATTGCATATTCAATTATTCACACTGGTACCATAACCTATGACATGAATGGTTAAATTTTCTTGCTGCCTAATATTGCAGTTCTGACTTGAATTTGATGTAGTAGAATGGAAGAACTCACATAAAGAAGCATTTAATATGACCTCAAGTGTAGTTTAGTAAGAAAAAAATGAAAGACAAAAAATCTTAAATATCACTCCTCTCAAAATATCTGATAATATTTACATTCTCACACTCCTTTTGGCTTCTAAATGGGATGCAATTTTACAGTAAACACGGTTCAATTCAAATGCGACCTAAAACTTCTACACAAGCAGATCATAAGGGACAGAAACACATAATGCACAAGAAAACTATTCTATATACAGAACTCTTCAATCATTGGCATTACACATGCTCAACAAAACTTGCCATGATTGACTCTTTAATGTTGTTCTGAAATTTTGAAGAAACTAATGCCTCTAAGAATGGGTTGGAAGGCAGACCTGTCTTGATAATCTCCTGATTTCCTGGTTGAGGATTATACCAAATAGATTTGGATCTTCTTGGTTCCTCCTATGCACAAAGAAAGAGCCTTGATAAAACAGTGTGACAGAAAGGGCAATAATCTATCCTATGATAACAATGAAGTGCAAGATACCTGTCCACAAACTTCAATTCCACTTCATCAGCAACACCAAATATTGATTTACGAAATAATCTTGACATTGAAGAACATCAAGTTGATATCAATCACCATGATAGTAACCAATGAGCAAATCTATAAGTATGAATTTTATACTACTTAGACCAACTCAGAGGTGCATACTTGTAACTATAATGATATGAAAGAATGATTATTACCTGTCATCCCAACGTGCTAGGCGGCTGGCTAAATGTGCAATTATCTCGTGTACTGTTCTTGGTGTATTATAACAACCAGCAAAAAGAAGTTCCTGGAATGAAGAAATCGTGCATAATAGACTAAAAGAGTAGAACAATTAAAGTTAATAGAAGACAATAATAAAAATATATATATTTCTAAATAATCTATAGTCTTGACCAAAAAAAAAAAAAGTTAGTTAAAACTATAAGATCCAGTGCACATTCTATTTAATGTTTAAACCCCAAAAGGCACCAAATGATAATGGCCACAGAAACAAGGGGAAGAAGTCCTTGAAAGAGAATACCTGAACTTCTGTAATTCCCAAAACATTCACACCTTTTGCTGATCCTTTGATATGCAAAGCAGTAATTAGAAAGTTCTGAACTTGGAAAGAACGAAGTACAATAGGAATGTCATCTTCATCATGATATGGATCACCAGCAGATTGCCCCAATAGCTCAAATAATAACCCTCCAGCCACCCTGACTGGAACCTGAACAAATTTAAAGCACATCAAAATGGCACCACAATCACCATCTTCAAGCCCCTAAAAGTAATTTCCCCCTATCCTTCATACGATGGCATTGCTTATTTGCTATGTTAAAGATCATGATAAGATCAGAGACTTGATGCCTATGACACTCAGATTTTATGTTGTTAACTTTATAAGTATGCTATTATATATTCTGTAATTTTGTTATCATGGTTTGAAAATCTCAAATTGAATATATGATTAACAGTATACTTATAGTTCAAGAAGTTTATGAAGGATATTCATAGTTCCTACTCAAGGCAATAGTTGTCTTTTAGCATAAACTTAATTAAGAAGTTTTATTTGAATATTGTTTTAAAATAATTAATAAATTAAAAAGGAAAGATAAAATCAAGGGTATTTTAGTCTTCACAAAAATGAACAAATTAGGCACTTTTCTATATCGTATAGACATCCTTCCAGTTTATTCAATATAGTTTGACAGTGACAGTGACTACACATGGTTTAAGCACTAAAAGTAGTTAGAGACCAAGAATGGAATAGCATTTCTAGAAATGGATGTATGTTGAGCCACTTTTAAACATTTTTGACATTGAAATTTGAAGTTATTCTATATCATTTCTTTTCAAGATGATGTATTTTGAAAAGTTGAATATGAAAACTGGAAAAAGATAGAATCAGAAAGTGAAGACAAAAAAGTTCCCAAAATGGAAATGTATAACATTCTAAGGCATTCCAAAAGTAAAGCATGGCACATGAGTTGGAACAAAAGGAGTAAAAATTCATTGCCATTCAGAAAACAAAACAGAATAGCATAATGGTCAGGTTAATGCAAGTATCTAACATACTCTGTAGTACCTTAGTGCCAAACCAAAATATATATATATATATATATATATATAGATAAAGTATGCAATCCATTGGAAATTTTACCATCACCATTGTTGACTACCTCACCTCCAAGGGGAAACCCTCAATGCACAGTAAAGAAGTTATAATTTAAATGTGAGCACCTTCTTAAAAATGCAATATGTTTGTAACCATCATAGAGTTGTGATATTTCATGAAAGGCATACAGTTCATCAAGCAAAAGTGGAAAACAAACCAAGAACTCATTCTACCTCATAAAGTAGATGTTTCATCTTTTCACTAATCAGCCGGCTCTCATCTCTTAAAGCATTGCTGATTGCAGGATGCAGCCAATCAGCATTGGTAAGCCATGAATCCACAAAAGGATGACCAGCAGCAACATGACACCACCATATAGGCCCTCCTGGACGTTCCCAGTAAGGAGCAGCTACATCAGCAACAGTGAGGTCATCTTCACCGTCCCTGAAATCAAACTGCTGACTCGAAAACCCAGCATCCACCTGTACCTTCTGGACAAGTTCTGAAATTCTAGCCCAACCAATAGGAACCCAACGGCTTCCGGCAAGACTATCCATGGCATGAAGTTGAGAGCACTGACTATAAGTCTCATCCCCAGGGGTATTCTCCTGATTTCCCGGCTCAATAAGAGAGGCAGACTCCAGTAAACTCTCCCCATTGGAACTTTGAGCATTAGCCTCATTATGCCTTCCATAACTGCATGCTTGAGTTTTACCATCCCTATCATCAGTCTCAGAACGAGATACAGCTTTGGAATAAGATCTCGTCCTGCCTGCTTTGCTTTGTCCTTTTACAAATTCAAAAGCACAAATCAATCCATCAATCCACAGTTCACTCCTCGTCACGGCATCTTTACTGTAGTTCCCCCTACGGCTCTCAGGCTTCCTTAGCCTACCTTCACCCATGCTACTGGTCACTGTACAAACTACACTCAGAAAAAACCAGAACAAGCTGCAAATGCCGCAGTATGTATCGAGTGACAACAGGTAATAGAATAGTCTTCCGTCGTCAGCTCAACAACCAGAAATTCCTTCGAGAGACCTCAATCAAACAAACTGCTTCGATAACACCATTAATTGCCGGAAACAATAACTGCAATGAAACGGAAACGAGATCATTCCAGAAGAAGAATATAACTAAAATCGGGAAGAACTACGTATAGAAATGCGGAATTCTCAGACAAAAACAGGAAAATTTTCCAATTTCTGGAATTTATTTCTTCAAATACAAAATCGAAGCGTCGAAATTACCTCATGTAATTGCGACTTGCGAGCAGTAATATGCTTGATTGCTTGCCTTCGTACTGCGTAGAGCTTAACCAGCTTAGACTTTAAAGAGAAGCATAATTAAAAGCTACTCGAAAGTCGAAACTACAATGCTCACTATGAAGTCGGGATTCCATTTCGTTACACTTCGGACCATACACTTCGAATCTCTCTTTTACACAAAATTACCGAGCTGTAACCAACTTGGCAAATTATACCATGTACCATAATGGTCTATCGAATCAATTTTAACTTATTTGACCATTATTAATGATTTAACTTAGTTAAAAATTAATATAAATATTTAATTAATTAATTTTTTGTAATTTTAAAAGCCGCTCAAACCAACTAACTAATTAACTAACAGCTACCATTCATTTACCAAACAGGGCCAATATATATTTTTTAATATATTAACCTTGTTTAGTAACATTGATTTATCAGTCAATTTTAACTTATTTAACCACTATTAATTGTTTGACTTGATTAAATAACAAATATTTGATTCATTAACATTTTGTAATAATTTATTATTCCAAAACACTAAAATTTAAAAAGTTTTCAAAACAACTTTTTCAACCAACTTCTTTTTTTTGCATATAATCAACTATTAGTTAATTTTGTCATATTTGCCTATTTGGTGCGTCCTGAACTATTAAGTTTACCACATACTTATTTCCACATTTGATTTTGCTGACTAAATCTCCTAACTACTGGGCAAAAGATCAAATGAGAAATTTATATTTTTCGAGAATAATTGCCAAAGGTTTGATTAGCAGGGGACCTAATATGAGAAATAAATAATAATTGAAATGAGCAGAGGGTGGGTATAGGAGCAGGATGTTGTTGATAACTGTGAGGGGGAAGAAAAAAGGAAAAATTCAAACAGAAGCACAAGAATCCCACTAACACCAACTTAGCTTGCATATCCCTATACTACATTAACTGATGATATAACGGAAAGAAAACGTAAAATACAACCTCTAAGACTCTAAGTACAGGGCAGCAGCCACACAAGCTTTGGGCGTCGAAAATATGGATTATTGCCGCGGCCACAAGCTTGAGGGGCAACTTCTTTATCATTACAAACCCTGAAAAACCCGGAGGCACTAGGGAGTAGGGAGGGAGTAAGATTAGTAGCTGTTTTGCCACAGCTGTTGGGATGATGGCTTAGGCTGGACTTGAGCGTTGCCGCCACCGCCGCCCAACGGGCCGTCTCTAGGGTTCTGCTGCTGGTGGTGGTGGTCCAGCGAGATCCCGGTTTGGGAATGGTAGAAGTTTGGGTTGTAGCCCAACGATGCATAGTTTTGAGATGGCTGTTGAACTTGCCGGAAGCCACTGGGTTGCTGGTTTTGCGCCTGGATATTGTAGTATGTATTGGCAGGAGCAGCTGACATTGTTCGGGAGCCATGGCCGTGGAGCCACATACCTGAATTCTCAACCTGGAAGAAAAACGGAGTTCAGAAGCCTCAAAACGACAGGAGAATAATAATCATTCATCGTAGCAAAACCAAGCACATGCTAGAAAAGAACAGCTTGCCTGTTGAAGAGACATTAAATGATGGTTGTCCTTGTATTGAGAACTAAGCCCGTCATCAATACCCAAAGATGTACTCGGAGCAGCAGAAGGATTCAACGGGAAGCTCCCAGGAATTGTGCCGGTGTTTCCAAAGGCACCGTATCCTGAAGGAACAGTAGCAGAGTGAGGCAAGCTGCTTACTGATACGCTGTTCTTGTAGTTCGGGAGCACTGCTGCCAGAGACTGTTGGTAAGTACTGTTACCAGCAAATGGTTGTTGGAAACCCGGAGGCATATATGTATAGCTCTGATGCATAAAAGGATAGCTAATTATGTTTGCAAAAGGTCCCAAAGGAAGCGTCGGTTGAGAATATGGATGCACAGCAAGGTGTTGCGGTAGAGCAGGCCCTGTGGCAACGTTAGTTCCAGTAAGGGTCTGCTGTGTAGGCTGCGTTGATGAAAAACCAGCAGTCTTCAAAGCCTATTGCATGACAAGACACAACTGGTGAGAACAAAACATAGAACAACAGTGAAAAGCAAGATACGAAGTTGAACTCCCAATTCTTCTCTATTTAGTTTTTAACTTACAGAGCAACACAGAGTTTCAAAGAATTTGCAGAACTCTGTTATTATCACTTTTAGTTTCCTAACTAGTATTGCCTCAATTATAGCATCATAGTATTGTTTATTGTTTTTGTACCATTATTGGGATTAGTATTAGTTAGATCTGTGTGGAGAAATCTATAAATAGTTAAATACTAAAATACCTCCTTTCATTTTGTTTTACGCACCGCCGCTCAAACATTAGCATTTTCGAGTAATAAGAATTTATTTTTATTTGTGGGTATTACCCTGCTATTGACATGTGTAATCAACAGCCTTGTGTGAATGCGGATTTTGTTCGTGAGAGCATCATAAACTACAAATCTAAATTCTTTAGATACATACACACACACAAACATCTATAAAGAGCGAACTTAATAGAGAAACTATACCTCTGGCATGGAAATTGATGAACCACCAACTGATGAAACCGAGTTGCCATATTTTGCAGGCATTGCTTGTGTAGAAAATGGCGAGTATGAAAGATCAGACTCTCTACCAGCATGAACATTTGCTGTCAACAAATTGCTCGGTAAGGAATTACTGTAGCCCTGCTTTGAACCAAAACACCACGGAATAAAGTAGTTATAAGGCAAAGCAAAATACAAAACTTGATCTTTCTGACAAGCTAGATTGAATAAAAATAATGGAAACACATAGCAAGGTTATCTGCTCAAGTACACAATCTAGCTTTATATATTTTACCCTTCAAGACCCAGAAGGGGAAAAAAAAAAAAAAAAAAACCTTTAATAATGCTCACCATGACATTTGAGAAGGGTGCATGATTTTGTGTTTGTGAGCTTGTCTGTGATTGACTAAACACCACATTTAACTGTTGAGCATTTTCATAAGTATAACCAGGTGCAGAAGAAGGAAAGCTGTATTGATTGCCATGTGCAACTTCAGAATGTTCCACTTTCAGTGAATCTGGTTGGGAATCAGAAGGTGATTCATAATTCCCCGAAATTGCTCCAGTCCTATGGAATAAAATACCATCTTGTTCATTTCTGAGATCCTCATCACCATAGTATTCAGAACTTCTGCAAGTAACAACACCAAAAATTAAAAGAAACATTTTTAATCATTTAACAAGCTAAATGCGTAGAGAAAAACCCTCAAGGAGACATCAATTGGGGGAAAAAATCATTCCAATTAGGGACATACCCATTGGTCAAGTGCCCAACCGGCGGAGCATCTGCATCTTTAGATTCTTCTTCCACATCTGTATTTGTAGGAGCAGATGCCAAAGCCCCAGAAAAAGTAGCACTAATTCCAGATCCAAAGCTACCAAAGCTCAGGTGTGAACAGTCTGCAGCTTGAACTTGTAGGTGATCTGGAATAACTACAGCAGGTCCATCCCTTTCAGGTGCCACATCTTGCTCCTCCTGTATGCTAAGTTGTTGCAAGTTGGCAGCAGCTAATGAAACTGAGGCATCAGTATCTTCATCTGTAACAAAAGGAAGAGAATTATAACGCAAACATAAGGTGCATACTATGACATATTTCAAAAGCTGAAACTTTAGCAGTTAACACGCATGCTTTCATGACAATAACCAGCCTTTATGCAACCAAAAAGTGACTACCGTAATCAGCGGCTCACCTCAACTTATGCCAAAATAAATAAGGAACACCAGCAGAACATATATGTAAATATGTCAAAGAAACTCAGCACACAAACTCACCATCATCGCCATCAAAACCATGATTATGAGGCGGATACGTATCAAGGCCACTGTCATGAAGAGAAGATGCTGCTGCAGAATTATCCTCCAGCCACTCTCCATTAGGAAGAGAACCAGACACCACCGGACCAGTACCAACACTATCAATGCCATGATCTTCAGCTCCCTGAACCTCATATGACTGGGGATGTTGGTTAGTTTTGTTAAAGGCAGCATGAGATGAATCAGGATGCAGCTGAGAGCTAGGTGGATCTGAGATAGACGGATTGCAAGCAGTTGATGGCTGCTCAATAAGTGGCCACTCATCATTAGTTGAATCAGGTTGAGCAGGAGAAACCCCTGCGTCCAAGTATACCTCTGAAGCTTTAGAAGTGTTATCACCAGAAAACTGCAAATTATGTTCTAATGCACCAGAAGGTCCCTGGGCATGGTTGTAACTCGCATTGACATTTTGCCATGATTCACTTGTACCATTTGGTGCTTTACCATGTGGCTTACCCATCTTAACAATATCAGCCATTGACACTTGACCTGGAACACCTACCCAAGCAGATTGGTATCCAGAAGAATGCTGGGTGGCTGCTGAAACACCATCAACTAACTTCTGGTTTTCAGTGCCAGCTGCATCACTGGAACACAGGATATTATAAAAGTATTCAGTTGATATTAAAAAAATAATAAAAATAAAACCAGAATTAGATGCAAAAGATTGAGGAATAGTAAAAAAGGATGTCCAAGATATAGGAATTTAGAAAAAGGTGATCTTATATCCATATCAGGTAAATAAGAAAAGAGGAAAGGAACCAGCAAGGACTTGTAAAGCTGTATAACAACTCTGATCTACTCCATTTGTCCCTCAAAACTATCTTGCTTACTTTTTTTGAATGTCTAAATAGAATTGTTGGTGTATAACAATCTTAGTGGATTTATAGGTTAATTTCCAACAATACCCCATTTCAATGATTGAAATTAGTGATAGAGGAAAAGAATATCGCATATATGAAAGGCAAGTTAGAACTCTTCAATTAAGTTAATGGCCAATAGCTAATGTAGCTATTGGCCATTAACTTAATTGAAGAGTTCTAACTTGCCTTTCATATATGTGATATTCTTTTCCTCTATCATTAATTAAATACAGTTGCCTTAATCCCTGTATTTTGTATCAAATGCAAATTATTGGGAGACAAAGGAAGTATACCCAAACTCCGAAGCAACCAACTAAGAAAGAAAATGGAAATTGTAAACTTAATAGTCTAGACTCCATTGTGTTTGATAATAGATGTACAAGTACATGCAACAACGTAAGAATGGAGGCAAACTATCAAATACTTTATAATACAATGTACATACATCGGA